GGATGTCGAGTCAGACTTGTACCCATGTAACTTTAATGCGATCTTGACAGGAAGGATGAAGAAGTATCTCATCCACAGTTCAGTGTTATGTGCAGCGTTGCACATTTAGGCTGCAATATGGTGATTACATGATTTGACCTTATTTAACACAGCAGCTTATTCTCTTGTGTTACTATTCAGTGCTAATGTAGGTGCCTGGTCCATCTAGGACCTATTGTTGAGTTTCATGTTATCTAAGACAATGTTATGATACTCCTTGTGTTCATTCATTGTATCGATATTGCAAGTATTAACAGATGCTGGATTTTGTGCTGTGTTTTTCCATCAGTTTTACCTCATTCTATTAATTAAATACGTCGGAGTCGGATGTTCACCGTGGCTCTGAAAGTGTATTGAAGGCGAGGTTAACTACTCGGATAGTGGTGCAACGCAGCGCACAGCGAGGCCGAGACACTCACGGTGTCTGAGTAGGGATTCCTATGTTTGCCATTGCGATAAATGCGTAGTGCGTAACGGAGCGAATAGGGCATTCCGGTCCACGTTTCCAAATGCCACTCGCGTCTAAGCCAACACGCGACAACGATAATCCACGGCGGTGTGTGAGAGTGCGAGTGCAGGGTTAGAGGTTAGTTTGACACTTAGTAGTAGGCTCTCGCGACCGATACTCACATCTGTTAACCCCTTATCAGTGCTGCCTACCTTATCACAGACAAATTCAGACCTTATTGGTCACCCCGTGCCCTTATCAATCTCAACGTTCATCCTACAAAGTCCCATCACAAGGGAGAAGCACAAACAGACAAAAAAATGTTTGCCCGTATTGAAACGTCTGTATGCCGTATGGACTTTAAAACTCAATTTCCCTGGACAAGAATACGGGGCAAACCGTATGGGTTGGCAGCTAAGGATATTATCCATAATAGAGTTTTTTTCCACACGATATTTACGCGATCTAGCCCAAGAAACGTCTATTATGGGCAGAGGTTTTTTTTCCCCCGATGTTCTATTCGCTTCATTATTACACTTTGGGTGTTTAAGGTATCAATTGCTCTCGTCATGAGAATAGGTTTTCTCCCTTTTTCTGGCAACAAAACAGGTGTTAAGATAAATAAAATACCAAACCGAAACCTTTTACCAGGAATCATGTCTGCATTAACCACAATTCTTGTGGTCAGAATGCAAACAAAAAACATACTCTGATAATATTTGCATTGTCTTTGAAACTGATTGGTCCATACGCCTTTTGGCATCCTCTGGTCTAACACCGTTTGAGACGAGGCTCGAAAAAAAGCTGTCTCTGGTGTGGACCAATCAGTTTCAAAGACAATGCCATATATTATCAGAGTATGTTTTTTGTTTGCATTCTGACCACAAGTATTGTGGCTAATGCAGAAATAATTCCTTGTAAAAGGTTTCAGTCTGGTGTTTTAACATCTTAATACCTGTTTTGTTGCCAGAAAAAAAGGAGAAACCTATTCTGATATTTTGGTACTGGCAAAGGAGGTCCCGTGATGTTCTCATCATGTTGGTGAACCGGGTCACTCGTGCGAACGAGACTCATCGTGGTCTCTGTTGAATCCTCACACTGCTTAAACAACACCAACTTAGTTTGTTTTAATATAGATTTCGTTTTTATATAGTTCCACAGGAACGGCCCAATAACGACCCTCGCCGCGTTTACAATTTAAACATTGCTTTGTCATCGTTATATATACATTAAGTGTATTTATCTTTTGACAATGATCAGGAGCGAGATCTTAATGTTGTAAGTAAGGATTCCTCCATGATTAATGAAGACCTGCTTTTAAACGTGATTGTTAATATTGTCTCGTCCTCTCGATCCTCATCTCTCATGACTCCTTTGCACCAATTTCTCCTTTCCCTTTCCCGCACCTTTCATTTTCCCCATTCTTTCTCCTCTCTTGCCTCTTATTTCCCCCATCCATGACTTCACTCCCCTTCCAGTGGTGGAGTCTCACATACAACTTTTTGTTGTAAGGGCCACTCCGATGCACTTTACAATAAATTACATTACTGTCACACATCATGCGTCATGCCATATCATATTTAATTCCCCTGCATGGTTAAATAGAGGTTACTTATACGTGAAATATGACCGCTTATAAAAATAATATTGAGACTAGAATAATTTACGAACATAAAATGCAATAAAATAAACATTCATATAATTTACGGGTTTTGCTGAAAACATCGTTCGTAAGTTTATTTAAAGTTCAATTGCGTCGGTGAATTAATGCACAGTTCAAATAATTGTATTATAACTCGAAGGAAGGATTTCTCTTTGGTGATGATACCATCACAAGTTATAATTTACAGCCGTGTCAATAGATCACTTTTAATTGAAGGCCTTCGCACGCCATGCCACTCATAATGGTTGTTTGATGAACGCTGGTTAGCAAAGGAAGATGCAAAGGACTGGTTCAGATGTCATACCGAGGTGATGTTAGCTATGGTTTAGGAGTCCATCTCTGGTTAACTGGTTCATGACACAGTGCGTTGCACAACCAACGAGCCATAAAAGTTCATGTTATTTGAAGAAAAAACCCCCCCAAATTTTTGCCCATATTTCAGTGGTAGTTAAATATGTTAAACCAGCCTGTAGCCCGTCCAAGGACGGGTGTATATTGCAGTTTATCTGAAATATTCAATCGAAAATAATGACCCGCTCATGATTATTGAGGGGGTGGGGGCGGGGTCCACATGAGTGACGTCATCAGGTCATGATTCTTGAGGGGGCTCATGTGGAGTGACGTCACGGGCGGGGGACACAGCCTTTTTTTGGCTCGTTATATTAGTTGCTACGTTGATTTCTTTTTTAGCTTTACTTTCCATAAAGTAAGCCCAAAATGAAAGCTAATTTGCGTAAACAAATTTTCGTTTCCGCTCCACCTTCATGCGGAGTTACGTCACCCGTTCATGATTTTTAATGACGGGAGGGTCCATGTGGAGGACCCCACCTGTTCATGCTTATTCATGAGGAGCCGTCCATAAATGACGTCACGCGATTTTTGACGATTTTTTACCCCCCTCCCCCCTCGTCACACGACGTCACAAAAAGTCAGACCCCGCCCTCAAATATGACGTCACAAAGCTCTGCCCTCCCCCCCAAATAAAACATGCTTCAAATCGCTTTAAACGATTGTCATTGTAGTGCGTATTTAATGTGGCGCTGCACTCTGATGTAGGAGAAAACATTTATTAAAACGTCTATTTAATTAAGTAGAACGTGTTGTCTATATTTAAAGTTGCGCATTTTGATGTGACGTCACATTTCTCAACCCCCCCCCCCTCATCGTCACACATCGTCACAAATGTCTGACCCCCGCCCCCCCCAGGTGCATGACGTAATTTATGGACGTCCCCTTACGCGATTTAACACACAAAAAACCCTCATCGATATACTAATACAGAGGATTGCATATGTTAATGACTGAATGGCGTGTCAGTTACTCCTCAGTAGCTTCCAACAGTGTAACTATTCATAGGGCCACCTATTACAACAGGAAATATTGTTAAACAACTAGTTCGGCTCAACTCGCATTATTATCCACTCTGTCTCTCACCTGGCATCTGGCCTCTTCATTAATGCGCTGTGCAAAAAGGGGTATTGCCCGAAACGTTGCCTGTTGTGTGTTTCCCCCCCCTTTTAAAGGCCAGTCACTTTTTAGCACGTGGTATGCACATCAATGACGTCATTACGCTAATTGTTTTTTATGGCATCTGGAAAAGCGACGCGTGACCTCATCGCACGCGAATTGCAAAGACGTCTGGCGTGAAGTCGCTTAACATAACGTCATGAACAACTTGTCGACATTACATCATCTGACATCGTAACTTATTTACAATGCTACGTCATGAATTATATACAGAGACTAAAACTGCACACGCACTTTAGTAACACCAATGTGTGGCCTTGAAACGAAACATACACATAACAGACGACGTTTCGGGCAATGGGCCTTCTTCATTAGCACGTAAACTTCGTTTATGACCCATACTCTTTGGTTCTATTGGGTAAAGTCACGTAGGTAAAAAATAAAATAACAAAAATCACGACGTTTCGGCCACAACACAAGCGGCCTTCATCAGGTGAAGGGACGAGACTGTCTGGAGGACAGCGCTGGAGCGAACAAAGCCAAGCTCAGATCGCGACCTTTAAGCTGTGTGAAAAGAAACAAAGCGCCTTGACAAAGGAATTAGCATAGAAATCTATAATTCGTTTATGACCTTTCACACCTTTTAAACAGCCTGCTTCAGCAGCTTTTCCGCAATTTTTTCCCCTGATGACGATTGCTTGTGTTGCCATCGAAACGTCGGAGTTTTTATTTTGTTATTTTCTTTGATCCTATCTACGTGACTTTATAATACGAATTCCTGCAGTCACGAAATCTTTAAGTCAAAATTTAAGGGTTGGAAACTTCACTCGTTTAAAACCAATAGGCGGATGGAGAATTATAACGGATATATTTTTAAGGTGTTTTCTTAAGGGGCCGTCCATAAATGACGTCACGCACCGAGGGGGGGGGGGGGGGTCAGACATTTGTGACGATGTGTGACGATGGGGGGGGTTTGAGAAATGTGACGTCACATCAAAATGCGCAACTTTAAATTAATATAGACAACACGTTCTAGTTCACTGAATAGACTTTTTAAGAAATGTTTTTTCCTACAACATCAGAGTGCAGCGCCACATTAACTACGCACTACAATGACAATAGTTTAAAGCGATTTGAAGCATGTTTTATTTTGGGGGGGGGGGCAGAGCTTTGTGACGTCATATTTGAGGGGGGGTCTGACTTTTAGTGATGTCGAGTGACAAAGGGGGGGGTCAAAAATCGTTCAAAATCGCGTGACGTCATTTATGGACGGCCCCTAACGACCAGCTGGAAACGGGCACACCAGCCGGCTCACCCAACTTGTCAACCATCGCTACGACGTCATCGCACGCAAGCCCGCCGATTTCGCGATGACGCCATCTCACGCAAGCCCGCGTGTCGCGTACGCGATGACGTGACGTCAGCGCGCGTTTGCGACGGGGCGGGGGTGGTGGGGGATAGACGCCACAGAGTGACATGACGTAACATCGCGCCCCGCTGCAATGGATGTTGCCGAGCTGCTGAAGTTCCAGGTGAATTAGCTGCGCACTTTCACGTTGCGTCGTCGTCGTCGTTTAAAGTTCACGACTCAAAGTCTCCACCGTCAGGGGCACCTCCCGGCGCCCTCTTCTCAGTCGCCGCGTTGCCCCTGAGGGCATCGCGGCGACGCCTCCGCGTCCCGGGGTGGAACGGAGCGAGGGTGGCGCCCGCGGGCCTGGGCCGCGATGCCTGGGCCGCGAGATTCTTCGGGCTCACGGACACGCACACAGAGACCCGTAGAGTCACACGGAGACTCGTGGAGTTGCATAGAGACCCGTAGAGTTGCACAGAGACACGTAGAGTTGCATAGAGATAGATCATAGACACGCACACTGCGACACGTGGGCTCGCACAGAGACCCATAGAGTCACACGGAGACTCGTAGAGTTGCATAGAGACACGTAGAGTCGCACAGAGACACGTAGAGTTACACGGAGACTCGTAGAGTCACACAGAGACTCGTAGAGTTGCATAGAGACACGTAGAGTCACACAGAGACGCACAGTCTCGCGTAGAGATACATCATAGACTCGCACACTGCGACACGTGGACTCGCATAGAGACCCATAGAGTCGCACGGAGACCCGTAGAGTTGTATAGAGACACGTAGAGTCACACAGAGACACGTAGAGTTACACAGAGACACGTAGAGTCACACAGACTCGTAGAGTCGCATAGAGACACGTAGAGTCACACAGAGACTCGTAGAGTCGCATAGAGACACGTAGAGTCGCACAAAGACTCGTAGAGTTGCACAGAGACACGTAGAGTTGCAGAGAGACACGTAGAGTCACACAGAGACACGTAGAGTCACACAGAGACGCACAGTCTCGCGTAGAGATACATCATAGACTCGCACACTGCGACACGTGGACTCGCATAGAGACCCATAGAGTCGCACGGAGACCCGTAGAGTTGTATAGAGACACGTAGAGTCACACAGAGACACGTAGAGTCACACAGACACGTAGAGTCACATAGAGACACGTAGAGTCACACAGAGACTCGTAGAGTTGCATAGAGACCCATAGAGTCGCACAGAGACACGTAGAGTCGCACAGAGACACGTAGAGTCGCACAGAGACACGTAGAGTCACACAGAGACGCACAGTCTCGCGTAGAGATACATCATAGACTCGCACACTGCGACACGTGGACTCGCATAGAGACCCATAGAGTCACACAGAGACCCGTAGAGTTGCAGAGAGACACGTAGAGTCACACAGAGACACGTAGAGTCACATAGAGACACGTAGAGTCACACAGAGACTCGTAGAGTTGCATAGAGACCCATAGAGTCACACAGAGACTCGTAGAGTCGCATAGAGACACGTAGAGTCACAGAGATGCACAGTCTCGCGTAGAGATAGATCATAGACTCGCACACTGCGACACGTGGGCTCGCAAAGAGACCCACGAACTCACAGAAACCCATAGTCACATGGAGACCCACAGACTTGCATAGAGACCCATAGTTACATGCAATCTCAGAACTTGCATAGAGACAGTCATATGGATACTCAGACTTGCATTAAGATAGATCATAGGCTCACACACTGCGACCCATGGACTCGCACAGAGACACATAGAGTCACACGGAGACTTGCAGTACTGTATTTGCATAGAAACCAATAGACACATGGAGATCCGAAAACTCGCAGAGATAGATTGTAGATAGACTCGCAAAGAGACCCGTAGAGTCACACAGTGACCCGTAGTCACACAGACACCTGTAGAGTCACACATAGACCCACAGACTCGCATAGAGATAGATTATAGAGCCACACACTGCAACCCATAAACTCCCACAGAGACCCACAGGCATACACAGAAACTCGTAGTCACATGGAGACTCAACGACTCGCACAGAGTTCATAGACTCATACTGCAACTCGAAGACTCGCACAAAGACCCAAAGACTTATATAGAAACGCATAGAGTGAAATAGAGACTCAAATATTTGCTTAGAGACCCACAGACTTGCATATAGACCGATAGTCACATGGAGACCTACAGACTCGTATAGAGATGCATAGAGACCAGCAGACTCGCACCAAGACCCATACAGACTTTCTGAGACCCAAGAGACTGCCAAATATTTCGAGACTCACATGGAGACCCATAGACTCACGCAGAAACCCATAGACCTAGAGAGACCCATAGACTCACTTGCAGACATAAGACTACCTCTTTAAAATAAATATGCCCAGTCTTTCTGTACAGCTTCTCGAGATGCGGTCACATTTAGACACTGTATAAATCCACATTGCAATATATTATATCTCAACCATCTTCTGGTTCTCCATCATCCTGTGCTGCCCCTCTGTCCACCCTCGTCTGCTCCATCTCTTCTTTCCGTCTGCTTCTCTGCCACCTCTTTTCCTCGCCCCGCCGCAGCCCGACAAAGGGCCGAAGCGCGTGCTCGACGAGGAGGATGACAGCGAGGAGGAGCTGCCGCACCCCCCGCGCAAGCAAGGGCCCGGCAGGGGCCGTGCGGAGCCCCCCGCCGACCAGCAGCAGCAGCAGGTGGAAATGATGAGCAAGGATGACGAGGTGAGGACGATGGAGGCTAAGGAGGAGGGGGTGTGCGCCGCTTCCGAGCATCGATGGGGCGTGCTTCGCAACAGCCCCGCCGTGTGAATGCGGAGAGCCAGGAGACCTGGGAGAACATCGTCTTCGGCTGTGAAGTCCGTCAGGGCGTACCAGGCGGACTGGTTGTTGTTGCCCTGCACGTGCTGGAGGAGGAGGCTGTCACGTGGCTTTGTGGCTACGTGGGCTGACGTCTACTCACATATAACACTGACAAATATATTTCTTTCTTTTGCGTGTCTGGCGCTCTAACGGTACGATTTGTCACGCGTAAAAGCATTTGCTAAATAAAAAAAACGTTCCTCGATCTCATAAACTTCTCTCCCAGTGGATGAGAAGAGGTGGGGATGGAAGGTGAGAGAATGTTTAATAATCCACATAGCGATGTGGCTAAAGGACATGAAATGTTCTTTAATTGCCTTTCGCTAAGCCAGGTGAAAACCCATTGACACCACAGGTCTCGTGTTTCAGGGAGCGATCCGGCTTTTAAAATAGGTGCATCTAAACGCAAACCATATCAGCAGAATAGATGCCTGAGTAAAATAATGTAACGCCTCGGTCCCTTATTTATGAGGGTTCGGCATTGGTATGTTTGGTCAGATTTATTTTGAAAGCATCGTTTGTTCCATACGAGAGGTTTTCGTGGTAGTGACACTTGTGATACGTGGGCATGGTGGTTCGCATGGCTGGCGGTGGTGTTGGCGCCCACTGCTGGTGGCACTCGCCAACAGATGTTCTAATCTGTTAAGGCGATACGGGGGATCTTTGTCTTGGTGGGAGGAGGCCCATGGGTGGCGGTACGATATTTTTTCATATTTTTTCATATTTTGTACTCGAAATATATTTCATAAAGTAATTGTCGTACCTAAGAAAAAAATCTTAGAAAGGGAAATGTGATGAGCAAGCTTATCGTTTTGAATAGATTTTTTTGTAGAAAGCTTCTTACTCTTAAACACACAAAAATACCTTCCCGTAAGCATGAGTTTTGCTTGAACTTACAAATACATTTTTTATTCGAAAAAAAAACAATGTTTCACCTCTAAATAAAATTAACGCTGAACCGCTTGCACGCTCCGAGATGCAGCGGTGAACATGACCCACCCTGCAACTTGCAGACGTCTCGGAACGGGAAATGATTAATATATTTTCGCTTCGCAGAACTTGCAACAACAGTTCATAATTGCCATCGTTGTCTTTGACAGACCCAGTCGTTGGATGATAACGGCGTGAAGAGGATGGTATTGAACTTTGAGAAGACGACACTGAAGAATCAGGAGCTCAGAATAAAATTCCCCGACAACCCAGAGAAGTGAGGCATCTCCAGTTTAACATTATCGCTTGTGCACGTTTGCTTGTCTGTGTTTATATAATATTAGTTATTAGTACTTTGTTTAACCTTCTGAAGGCAGTATCGCTGATGCGGATTGCGCCGCTGAAATCGAGGGGGCAGAGTAACATGATTGATTCTCGCCCGACCCGAATTAACGTGCAGGTTCATGGAGTCCGAGTTGGACCTGAACGACGTCATCCAGGAGATGCACGTGATCGCCACGATGCCAGAGCTCTACCCTCTGCTCGTCGACCTCAACTCGGTGACGTCGCTCCTGGGCCTTCTCAGCCACGACAACACCGATATCCTTCGCGGCCCAACCGCGGGCGACCGTGATTAATCCCGCAGTGCTGCCGGAAGCGACGCGGCTGTGATGAATATCAGTGGTGTAACGATCCATCCATTAACCCTTTCACATCTGTGTGTTTTTTCATCTGTGCGTCACCCTGTATCTATGGAACATTTTTGCCGTGATCAAAATGATGGAAAAAATAAGAATAGGCTTTATCCCGCAGCCAGCCACATTTTAAATTCATTGTCTAAACGTGGTCAGATTTTTTGTTAGGAAAATATCAGAATGAAGAGGGGCATGATCCTGGCCCTTTTGTGCAATTGTTTTTATTTTTTAAATCACGATACGTGTCTGAAATGGTGTGAAAGAAATGTTTGTCAGTTCGTAGTAGCTGTATGTAAAGCCACGAGCCAGCGAGGGCTGTGCTACATTATGGGCAGAAGACTACTCCGTATCCAAGCACACTTCCCACCTAATTGAACAAAGCATCCTTTGTTGATGTTGACTTCAGTTGTGAAAAACACCATAAGCCGCTGATGAGGAAAGAGCCTTCTTAGTCAGAATTTGATCAATGCACGACGTACAGGAAGAGCATCAGATCGCGAGTCATCAAATTTATTATAATAAAATAATATTTTTTTATTATTTTATTCTCATTCTACGTGACTTTACCGAAAGAACCAAAGAAGATGAATCATTGCAGTCACGAACCAAAGAAGATGAATCATTGCAGTCACGAAAGCTTTAAATCGAAATTGTAGGTAATTCTTCAGCGCTGGGATGTTTTGGCCGAAACACCAGTTACGTTGTTTTCAGCTTTCGCACGTGCGTGGTTGGAGTCCTTGACCCCCAGGGGTTACATATCGCCATCGAGGTGGTCGACCTCCTGCAGGAGCTCACGGACGTGGACACGCTGCACGAGAGCCAGGAGGGCGCGCGGACGCTGACCGATGCGCTCGTGAGCACTCGCGGCGTGTTCGCTTTCGGTCGCCGAGATACCAAGCAGGCGTTTAGTTTTGTTGTAACTTCTTGAGCTGCCTCTGGTTTTTTCATTTGCGCATTTAGAATCAACACGCGTCTAGAGTTTTTGGCTGCTTATACATTTCAACGTGATGATAAGCCGCTTCGTAGAGTTATCGTTTGTGGCCTGGTCGCTGCTGAAAAATAACGAATAGCTCAGTAGGCTTTACCCGGTAAGATAAAAAAATAGTTTTTGTTTATTTATTCATAGTGATTTGCTTACCTTTCCTATACTTTGCACTCTTATCGTTTTTTTTATAGTTGTAACTCTCTTGACCTGCCCCTCCTGGACATCTGTGAAAAAGAGCTTCACAGTTCATCAGATTTCTCCAGGATAAAGATTCTGATTCTGACTTGTTGGTGCCATCCGCGGTGGAAGAACCTCAGTGATTTAATTTCATTTACATGGGCAGTAACAGTGAAGTCTATGCTAACCATTGCATGTGAGTGGCTTTATCAAATGCTTCACTCTTATTAGCTTTATAATTGGTACCACTAAAGTTTTGCCACCTTAGGTGGTACAATAACACCCCGCTTTATGTCGAGGATGGGTTCCTGAAAGTTGCGACGAATATCTAAACGCTCGGAGAATTAAGCAGCAGTGACCAACACCACGGTTCTCACGCGGGTTCTGACGCCGCACTCTTATGGCGGACTGACGGACGCTCGCACACCACGCCGTCATCTTTATCCGTGCTGGAAGGAGAGCGAAGCACAAATCGCAATAAAAAACGAAACGCTCTCCCTGTTTGTGATGAGAAACCATATCGCAACAGGCGAATGCGTCTTGCAAACTGTAAACAATTTGGTGTCCTAACGTGCTCACAAACAGCGGTAAGGCACAACTGCCATTGTGCCTTGCATTGAGAACAGCACCCCTTTGCGTGTCGTTAGCTCTAATGGCAGAGCTGTGGGAAACTGATATCGCCATATTTGTCATATCGCGAACTTTTTTTTGCGTCGTATTGTGACAAGAAAAATTATGTTGCGCCGTTGACGGCTGATTGAAAACTAATTTCTCTAGAACTGCCTTTTGTGTTTTAGTTTGTTGCCCCCGCACCTCCGACTAGCGTGGTTGGCTACGTACGGGTGCGAACAAAGTTCAACATGCATACATTACGCTCGCCATCCGCGCACTCTCCCTGCAGCTCAACGAGCAGGTGGTGGCGCTGCTGGTGCAGAACCTGGAGCGACTCGACGAGGCGACCAAGGAGGAGGCAGTCGGCGTTCACAACACGCTCGGTGAGTCTCCACGCTTCAAACGCACGAGATCAAATCACGGCACGTGTGAGCCCCACTTCTTCTTCTGTCGCATGGCTGCTGATGTAGATGCAGAGCAACAACTTAATTTTCACATTCAGGTGGTCAAGCCCAGATGATAACCGCGTCAGGCAGGAGCAGCGGAGTGTGTCGCTTTAATGTCGCTGTAATGTCGCTGTAATGAGCACCTGATGATCCCCAAGCAGGTGTATAGCTGTAACGAGCCCCACTGATGATCGCCAAAAAGGGGAGATCCTCGCATCTAAAGCCCCCATTGCATCTACGATCCTCAATCCTGACCTCGCACAGCAAGGTTGGGGGAGAACCACTTTTGCGTGGGCCGAATAGGACCTTAAAAATGTATATTTTGGGCAACAACCACATTATCATGCAGAGCTTAGCGTTAGCCTGTAATCACGCGAAAAATAACGACATGCGTTGCGACCGAGTGTAGAGGCCCTTCCAGTGACGGGAGTGGTTGAGTGCGAAAATTGGAAACCATTGTGGCAGCCAGGTCAGAATTAATACCCGATGAAGGCAGTCAAGAAGCATGCGGTGATGGATCATTTGCGGGCTTTTTCGAAGCGGTAAGGCCTCATGTGGCTACCACATGCCATTGGATATTAAGTTGTGGGCCGTATGTATGTGGTCCACAGGCCATAGGTTTTGATTTAAAGCTTTCGTGACTGCAGTGATTCATTCTTGGTTCTTTCATGACTTTACCGAAAGAACCAAGAATATATACGGCCACAGGTTCCCTGCTCCTGCTGTCCCGGTAGGAACTTCACGCCTGGTTTCCATACAGCTAGAAGGAAATAGCAGCCATTTTTGGGGAATTTGGTAAAGAAAACTCAATATTTGAAGAGCCGCCATGCATGTGAATACGAGACGGTGGTCCTTAATAAATGACGTCGCGAGGCAGCAGTCCTTAAAGAGCCACAGTCGCCTCAGGAGCCGCAGGTTGCCGACGCCTGAGCTAGAACCATCGCACCTTCCTCTTGACTCCCACTGCAGCACGAAGCTCACACCTCACCCACAGAAAGGTACAACATTCACTGCAGAGCCGCGAAGAGAAAGGCGATGTCATACACTCAGCTCTCGCGCGGGTAGGACGCTCGCACCTGACACCCCCACAACGGTACAGTCTCACACGTGACCCTCGCACGGATAGGACGCTCGCACCTGACACACCCACAACGGTACAGTCTCACACGTGACCCTCGCACGAGTAGGACGCTCGCACCTGACACGCCCACAACGGTACAGTGTCGCACGTGACCCTCGCACGAGTAGGACGCTCGCACCTGACACGCCCACAACGGTACAGTCTCGCACGTGACCCTCGCACGGATAGGACGCTCACCTGTGAACCCCCTCGTGTGGCGTTACAGCGATCATCGAGAACCTGACAGAGTTCCGGCCAGAGATGAGCACGGAGGCCGCGCGGCAGGGCCTCATGCAGTGGCTGCTCAAGCGGATCAGGGTGAGACGCAGTTCGCTGTTCCTCATATCTGTACCTCAATCCTCACACACGTATATACATGTATGTTTAACTTCATTCGCACCGTACGCCGTACGCAGCCAATCGTGCTCATCGGAGGTGCTGGGGGGGGGGGGAAGTACAACAAACTAAACACAAAAAGCAGTTCCTAAAGAAATGAGTTTTAAATGTAGTTGATTTAAAAGTGCATAGCTCCAGTGGCTGCTTAATATGGTAAAGGAAGCGCGCAATGCGGTGGCCGTCTTTGATGGTTAGCCAAAAGCTGCTGCTGCTGCTGCGAGGAAGACCGGAGTTCGTGCGACTGTTTATGCTCCTTGATGACCGTACGGCCGTCAAGCTCATTCATAATAATTTTCTGCTTCTCGTCACGTTTCCGTGATCCTAATATGAGCTGGAAACAACGCAACTGGTGTTTGCCAAAACTTCACAGCGCTGAAGAATTACCTACAAATTTCTCAACTAAGATTTCAAATCGCACCATCGCCCCCTACTGTGAAAACTTGGCAGGAGCCTCTTGTAAAAGATTTGAGACTCGGCGAGGCTTTCCTGGGTAAACAAGCGTAACCATAATAATCATACAGTAGTCTTTCGGTTAACCTTTTTAATCCGTTCCACAAAAACTACTGTTAACCGAAATAACTGTTAATCGAATATATTAATTACATGTTAATAGCATTCAACCGTTCGAAGGTGATTGGAATTTGACCTTTTTGACCCTAAAAACATAGTTTATTTCATTAAAAAATATTCATAAACATAGGAAAGCGAAAACATGTAAACAAAGCCAGTCGAGGTCTAAACGCTTATAAATGGGGGTCACCGATTGGCTGAGGGCATGGCGCCTCGCGTTCCGAACGTAAACGTACCGTTAGTCAAAATTTTAGCGTTGGTCGAAGCATGGGGTCCTATGGGAGGCGAAACATTCACCGAAAAAAACGTTAACCGATGTCACTGTTTACCGAGGGACTAGAGTACCTGCTTCTAGTTGTTCATCACCACACTGCTCTCCATATCTCACTCCTTACAACCACATCACAATCCTCAATCTATGGCAAGTTCTCCCGAAGCGCGGATCTGGAAGTTTCACACATCTCTCTGCCCGATCCACTAACCCTCACCTCAAGAGTGCTGGGTCATAGGCGTGCACCACCACCCCACCACACCTCCCGAATCGCGCGGTTGGCTACGCACGGTGCGAAATAAATTCTACATACAAACCATGCCTGCAATTTGTCAGAGGTTTTGTTGAGGTGTCATCATCGTTGTCCCTTTGCTGCGGATCGCAGGCCAAGATGCCCTTTGACGCGAACAAGCTGTACTGCAGCGAAATCCTCTCCATCCTCTTGCAGAACAATGACGGTGAGGTGTCCACACCCCCCACAACATGGCCCTCCCCCAGCTTGCCGTTGGTGAGACGCACGTTTCCTCTTTTCCACTGTAGAACTGAGCCGCACCAGGGCCCGCATCAAGACGGCCCCCCCGAGGCCCGTGCCAAGCCGGCCCCTCCCTCACGGCTCGCGAGATGCCAGAAAGCACAGTTAACCCCGCCCCCCCCGGCCCTGCTTGGCCCCCGAACCAGTGTCTCGTGATGCCAGCGTATCGCGGCTTGGTTCCAGCTTGGCACGGCAAAGAGCTGGCAGAATACCACGTGTACTGTGAGGGGCCCTCACGCTGGCCTGGCTCGGGTGTGCAAGTGGAAAAGGGGAATCATTGCGCCTGCTCTGGGCTTTAAAGGGACTGTGTAAATTGTAAAGACTGCATTGGTGATGATGACTTCATATGTATGTTGAGGCGCAGGGGAAGGACAACAAACTAAACATAGTTTTGATGAAAACGAAATGCATCTGTAAAGGCCGCAACTTTGTGGTGATGATGATGATGATGACCATGGTATGATGATGAACATGTGAGCCTTACCAAATCACCTCCCTTGTCTGCTTCTGTTCTGCGACTAATAGTGTTCGTAATAAAGGTCCGTGTGTGTTTGCGTGATGCAGCTAACAGAGAACTCTTGGGAGAGATGGAAGGGATCGACGTGCTTCTACAGCAGCTCTCGGTAAGTGTGCTACGTACATGCGGGGAGCCTCTTCTCTCAATCTACTGCTGGATGAGGGTCCTCCCAAAAGGCCATGGGGGTCGTGAGGGTTGTTTGACCGTTCTGCCCCACGCCGGTCAGTGTGGATTGGTGAAGTTTGGTCCAGCGGTGGATTTCCCTGCAACGGCCGCTGCTGCCTTCCATGTAGCCTCACAGCCGATAACACTTGTTTGTGCAGTGTGGACACTCATTCCCCCCGCACCTCCGATTTCACACGGTTGGCTATGTACGTTGCGAGAGAAGTTCAACATACCTGCGTACGTACAAGCAACCCCCTCCTTATTTTAAAACCCGTACCGACGGCGTTCACCGCTTGCCGTTCCCTGTGGCCACACGCAGGTGTTCAAGCGTCACGACCCGGCGAGTGGGGAGGAGGGGGAGATGATGGAGAACCTCTTTGACTGCCTCTGCTCGTGCCTGATGCTGGCGTCGAACCGCGAGCGCTTCCTGCGCGGGGAGGGCCTGCAGCTCATGAACCTCATGCTGCGGTGAGCAACGATTTGCGCGGCACCCGGACCTCCTGATCCACGTGCGCGCACGTACACGCGCGCCGTTAGGTTTTCGCGCGTCACGAATGATTGGTGATCGCAGCGACGGTTGAGTAGATTGAGTCCGATCTTGAGAACTGTTGTGTATTCTTTGGGAAAGGTTTCATGAATCTCAAGTAGTGACGTAATGCGGAGGCGAGGCGTGCAGGTTGCTTGTGACCTCATCGCCTTGGCCAAAGAGGCTTGTCCATTTATCACTGGGTTTTATCGGTGCTCCTGTGGCCGGTTGATAAATGTGGCCTGTTTATTATACGGAAAGTCCCTAACAGCAACAAAAACCTTTAGCATTCAAGTTAATATTCTTATCGGACCGTCTTTACGAGACCGTATTAAACAGGCACACGTAGCGAATGCACCGACGCTTTCAACTTGAGTCGGAAAGTTAAAATGAATCCGTGACGATGGTTTGGTGGCAAGCGTGACGGGGGAGCGGGGTATGCCCGTGCGTGCGTGCGTGTTTGCGCGCTTGCGCCGGCAGGGAGAAGAAGCGCTCCCGCAACAGCGCCCTCAAGGTGCTGGACCACGCCATGGTAGGGCCGGACGGCGCTGACAACTGCCACAAGTTTGTGGACATCCTCGGCCTGCGCAGCATCTTCCCCCTCTTCATGAAGACGCCCGGCAGGGCCAAGAAGGCCGGCATGTCCGAGAAGGAGCACGAGGGTAAGGCCGCCCTCGGCCATTTTGGCCGCAATAAATTTCCACGCGATGACAAGACGCTTCGTTGAGCTTTCATTAACGATAGCCATGTCGCTTCTGGAAAAGCTACACAGCTCAGTGGGCCTTACCTTGTAATCGATCATTGCACTCGTGTGTAAAGAGACTTGATAATAATTTAGACTTCAAACGCGCCTCGCACTATTCCCTCTCAAAAGAGAGGACAACTCGGAGGTGCGAGGAATAGATTCCTTGCGCTGGTTGGCTGAATTTAGAAATCTGTGGAAGTGCCCGTGAGTACTCATTTTTGGTTCCACTCACAGGAACAGTTACCACGGGCTGCGCCCGCTTCCGCAGATTTTCCCTCTTTTACAAATGAAGTTATTTTTAAAGGTAAAAACTCAGCTGCGTCTCTATCGAGCTGCACTTGAATTTTATCCTCCGACGGACCACACCAAAATGAGCGTGTACTGATGGGCCACGTCACATCACATCCTGGGCCTGTCATATGTGACATCGTATGTACACGTTACCACTAATCTATACGTCTTGTCTCCAGCAGTATCATCTCTGTCATGTATCTCGCTGTAATTTTCACTTATCCTCATCTCTTGCACACAGCTCTTTCATCTATTTTGTTTATCACTCATCTCTCACCCTGGCAAACGAGATGTTCCATCTCAAGGGATTTTCCAGGTAAAACATTTTAATAAGGAAAATAAAAATGTCTCGGTGAGCCACTGTGGGCCAGATTTGGCCCTCGGGGCGGCAAGTTCAACAATGCATGCGTATGTTGAACTTCTTTCGAACCGGATGTAGCCAACTATCCTAATCGGGGGTGCAGGGGGAAGGACAACAAACCAAGCACAAAATGCACTTCTAAAGAAATGAGTTGTCATTCTAGATATAAAAGTGCATAGCTCCAGTGGCATCTCTATATCGGAAGTAATAGCATTCCAAACGGCCACAGAAGCGCATCTGAAAGCGTGCGATAAGTCGTTGTTCGATGGCCAGCCAAAAGCCTCTGCTGTGAGGATAACCGGAGTTCGCGTGATGCTGGTTTATGGTCCTTGGCGAGATGAGCGAGGTATTTCGGTTAATTTGTGGCGAGCGCTTTGTGTTTAATGAGCGCAACCTTATAACGTGTTCCGCTATGCATAACCACACGCAGGAGCCGCGAGTTTGGGGGTGGACCGCAAATCTCTTGGCGTGTTCCCCACTGCCGCCTGTGACGTCCCCGTGTCCCCGCAGAGCACGTGTGTTCCATCATCTCCTCCATGCTGAGGAACCTCAAGGGGCAGCAGCGCACACGGCTCATCAACAAGTTCGTGGAGACCGACTGTGAGAAGGTGGGGCCGCTCGTTCCGACTCGCTCAGTGGATCATCACAGTTGATCATCGATTATCCGGCACTGTGCCATTATGCGGTTGCTTCCAACAGTTGCTTCCAACATTATTTGGCGGTTCCGGGCCAATCCGGCAAAACCGCTCCAGTAAAACCAGTAAAACCGCTCCCAAGGCTGTAACCAGTCCAGCGATTGGCACCGTGTGCTTGATTTCAGTGTTAAATATTATATACAGTACATTATACACGACAGACGACTTAAACAATGAATATAATGTTTACATCACCCCATGCAGAGTCTTCGAGATTGGAGTAGTAAATACGGTAACGTGAATATGGTAACTTTTTAAGATGGATCTTTTTTTCTATTTGTATGTTTATCCTAATTTCATTTAGTAAACAAATCTAAAACACAAAAAAACATATGACAACACCTAAACACATGTCAGACAAGAATGTACAAAAATAAACTATTTTAAAAAATGTCGGGCAGTGATTATTTGCCGTTTTTTTATATCTGGCATCCCCTCCCTACCCCCCGAATCCGCTAGATAATCAATCGATGATCTACTGTATGGTGATAATCGATGATTTTCTGTATTTGTCTTCCCCCCCCCCCATGATTCCAATTCTATCCGCGTCATCAGACGAAGGACACATTCCTAAGTTATAGAGCGTTGCACCCCATTTGTCAGTGATTGGCCTGCAGAAGTGCTTTTGAGTGGCACTGGTTCCACACAGTAGGTAGGGGGCGTACTTTCCCCTCAACCTCTGCTGTGATCTTCTTTGGTTCTTTCGGTAAAGTCACGTAGAATGATAATAATTATTATTATTTTATTCTCATTCTACGTGACTTTACCGAAAGAACCAAATAAGATGAATCCTTGCAGTCACGAAAGCTTTAAATCGAAACTCTGCTGTGATGTTGTTTGTGGCCCGACGGTCAAACTATGTTACTTTTTGATATAAAGCTTTCGTGACTGCAGGGATTCATATTCTTGGTTCTTTCGGTAAACAATAAAATAATACATATGTTTATTATTTTATTGTTTCCCTTCTACGTGACTTTACCGAAAGAACCAAGAATATGTTACTTTTTTTTTTTTATCTCAAGAGCTGGAATCTATCCGAATCGAGTCCAATACCAAGCGATGTTTATTATTGCAATCGTTTGTGACGGGACTGAGACTTGTCAAGTCGTGCGCTTGAGAACCCTGTTTAGTACTCGGCTGCTATAAATGTCCACGTGATAAGCCACTTTGTTGAGCTATCATTTGCGGCCAGGTCGCTCTCGAAAGAGAGCCGTATAGCTCACTGGGCCTTACCTGGTAAAATAAGTAAATAGTCACTCGTTTTAGTTTACTCGTGAGTAGCTGCCCGGGAACGAACTCGGGACCTCTGCGGTGCTGGCTAAACCCTCTGGCCTCTGAGTCACCTGGTCACCTCGGTTAATGTTTGTCGGTTGCCAGGTGGACCGGCTGATGGAGCTGCACTTCAAGTACCTGGAGACAGTTTCCGCTGCCGACAAGAAGATCGAAGGAGAGAAGCACGTGAGTGACGCGGTGAAACGTACACACGAGCGACCGCACTTGTCGCACAGAAATACGCAACGGTAATGGTCTGGCGCAAGCACATTGAACCTACAAATTAACGAACAACGCAATGAATAGCCAGCGGCTGCGTCGAGCGAACAAATGAGCGGAACTACGCAAATTAACGACGGTGGGCTGCGTTGAACGATGTGGCGGCGGTTGTGGTGCAGGAGATGGTGCGGAGGGGTGAGATTATCGACGACGAGGCGCAGGACGACTTCTACCTGCGCCGGCTAGACGCTGGGCTTTTCGTGCTGCAGCTGGTGGACTACGTCATGCTGGAGATCTCCACGTCCGGCGTGGCGCAGGTGCGACGAAACGCCAGCACCGCTGCCACCGTGTCACGCGGCAGCACGTGTCAGCCTTTGTCTCCCCAATGTGTGGCCGTGCGGTTGATGGCTGGCCACCACTCCTGGCGGAAGGGCCTCCACTCGGGAGAGCTCTTCTGGAGGGAACGTTGGCATACCCTTCCACGCTAGCCAGACGTCTTTGACCGATCGATCGACTAACTGTGGTGTGTACGAATAAGAACGTTACAACAACAAACAGTAGGAAAACACGTGATAGTAGTGCAAAGTACAAGAAAGGTCAACAAATCGCCCAAACACAAACAAATACAACAACTAAACCATCCCCATCCTACCAGGCAAAGTCCACTGAGATATTGACTTCTTTTCCAGAAGCGACCTGGCCACAAATTACAGCTCAACAAAATGGCTTATCGCGTGGAAATGTATAGCAGCTAAATAATCGAAATAATTTCAACCGCCACTCCAGGAGGTCAAACCAAACCGGTGACCTCTGGGTCGCAAGTCCAGTGTGATAACCTTCACACCACGGCAGCATTCCCCATGTGGGGTGTAATAATGACTATTCACATGTACACAATGGTGGGTGATTCCCATTGTCTAACGTTGATATTCATCATGAGGCATGTAACAATGCGTAGATTCAAGTAAATTATCCCGCTCGCGGAACGCATACGTCTGATTGCGCGGAAGAATCAATAACTTTTATTATTACGTCCACGATTATGTGCTAGCCGGTATGTAAATCCACTTCTGGATGAAGTGTCGGTACCAGGGATTAGTTCTAACATATCTAAATGTAAAATCCGCATCCTGAGTTAAATTAAAGTCCAATCAGGCAAAGTCATGGTGGTGATTTCAAAATATCGTTGTTTTAAAGTGAGTACATTTCAGAGTTTGGTTCATGCAGTTAACATGCAGAACTATTAGCATATCGGTGTTCCAGTTGTGTTCCTCCCAAGAAATATGAATAATTATTTACATCTTTCTCAATCCACTGCTGGACTTGGCATGACGCTGGCGATGGCGTGCGTGTGTACGTGCGTGCGTAGATCCGACAGCGAGTCAACCAGATCTTGAACCTGCGCGGTGGCTCGATGAAGGTGGTGCGTCACATCATCCGAGGTTCGTGGCCACAGCTCGTTCACGATCGCACACGTTCCCAACACCCGGCAGGGCTGCAACTCATGGTGACCGTTGTATGTGCCGATGTATGTATGCATGTTGAACTTCTCTCTCACCGTACGTAGCCAACCGTGCTAATCAGAGGTGCGGGGGGGGGGAAGGACAAAAAACTATGGGTCTTTGTGTTAGTCTATGGGTCACTGTGTGATCAGTCTATGGGTCTCTGTGAGTCTTATGTATGTACGTATGTATGTTGATCTTCTTTCACACCGTACGTAGCCAACCATGCTAATCGGAGGTGCGGAGGGGGGGAAGGACAACAAACTAAACACTAAAAGCAGTTTTAAAGAAATGAGTTTTCAATCTAGATTTAAAAGTGCATAGCTCTAGTGCAGGGGTTGACAACGAAATTAACACGAGCCATTTTTGTGCGAATAAAAAAACTCTATGATAAGAGCCACAATGCATGTGAATAATGTCACGAAGCAGCAGTCCTTAAAGAGCCGCACGTTGCCGACTCCTGCTCGAGTGGCTTCCTAATATCGGAAGGAAGAGCGTTCCAGACGGCCGCAGAAGCGCATCTGAAAGCGCGTGATGCGGTGACCGGCTTTGTTCGATGGCCAGCCAAAAGCCGCTACGATGATGACCGGAGTTTGAGTGATGGTGGTTCATGCTCCTTGACGAGATCAGCAAGGTATTGTGGTTAATTTGCAGCAAGAACTTTGCGTGTAATGAGTGCGACCTTATACAAATTGGCTCGTCGGTTAAATCTTGTAGAGCACTGGTGATCCCTACCTATGTGGTCCCTAGTGCCTGGTGGTCCGCAGGCCCATGGGAAGTGGTTTGCGGAACTATTGCTGATGTTATCGTTTTTTTTATTCACAAACACACTTTGTTTTACTGCCCCATTGCACAACTATTAAGAGTAGTCAATGACGAATAAGTTAATTGTCGATTCTGTTTCTATTATCAGTTTTCATTATCAATTTACGGCACTTTTTATGGGAGTTTTAAATTTGAAAAAATGTTCTATAGGCGCATTGTGGTCAGCAACGATTATTTTTGAGGGTTTACAGTGGCCCGCAGGGCTTAAGAGGTTGGGAACCGTTTGTGCAGACCACACGATCTTGGGGCAGACTGGAAACATGCAAGGCCTGGTGAAACGGCTAGAAAGTGGAGTCGTTGTTCCGGAGACCCGGAGGGAGATCGTTGATCGAAGTTCGGCCGCCGGGTTGACGCTGGCACAAGTCGTGATTTCCCACTTCACAGATTGGGCTTGGGTGAAGGGTGCCATCTTCCAGTCCATGATTTTTAAAATCATTATTTTAACCATGCACCAATTGAAACACATTGCATACCATTCACTGTGCCGATATATTGCATTGCACTTTATATGAGAAATTACCTAGTCACACATTTATTCCGCCCTTTTTATGGTAAGCTAAAGGGCAGTTCCGATCAACGATCTCCCTCCGGGTCTCCGGAACAGTCGTACATGTTGGACGCGATATCAGATGGATGTGAGTAATCGTCGTTATTAATCTTGAAATTAGTTTTCACTCGGGCACCGCGTGTCGTCAAACAAAGTGGACTATGAATTCAGAAATGCTTCACCTGCTCACCTTTCCTAATATGGGATAAATGTTTGTAGAACACCGGGGTGTTGGACGTGTTCGGGAAGAGCTAAATCATCGTCCACACTACGACGGTGATGGTACATTCAGTTTCGTGCGTGCGTTAAATCATCGACTTAGTCCGTGAATAATCCATAGTTCTTAAACCTATAGATAATAACTTCTGATCATGCAATGTGTGTTAGTATGATACATTTGAGAGTGACATTGCCCAGTTTATGGAACTGCCCTGAAATGTCTTCTCAAAAATTCTGAACAGATTTACAGTGTACCTCTGCCAGCTGTAGCTGACCTAATTATTGGCTACGTCTGAAAAATATGAACTGGAACCATTGGGATTTCCTGTTAAATAGGGCCCAGTGTAAATTCAGGCAGTTTTTTTATCACAGTTTTAGTCGAATTGATGACAACCCGTGGCGAGATGTTAACTACCTCGCCTAGTATACAGGAGGTTGTGGGTTCCATCCCGATCCTGGCGCCTATATATTTGGAGTTTGCGCGTTTTCCCCTTGGTTGAGTGAATTTTTCTCCGGGTCCTCCAGTTATTCCCTCCACATTTAGAATCAACATCACGCGTTTAAAGTATTTGGCTGTTATAAGTGTCCACATAATAAGCCACTTCGTTGCGCTATCATTTGTGATGTCCAGGTCGCTTCTGAAAAAGAGCTATATAGCTCAGTGGGCCTTGGTAAAATAAAAATAGTTAATAGTTTTTTTTAATGAGTCTGGATTAATTAAGTCACTCTCATAGTCCAGATGACTACAGCAGTCACGTTTAAGCCACTCTTGGTCATTGAATGTTGATTTGCGGGAGTGAGAAATGTTTCCTACCCCAATATCAGGCCAGCAAATCAGCAAACTCCGTAAATAAATGTTTATACATAACATCTAGCCAATTACCATTCGTAGTTTTTCTCAGTGCACTGCCTTCTCTTAATAATGTGCCGAAATTATCTTAGTCAGTGTCATATAGCTTGATCGGTTTTGGTGGGTGGTCATCGTTATGCCGGTTGACTTTTGTCACCTTAGACATTGTTGACTAACAACATAAAAAACACGAATATATTCATAATTTCATGAACAAAAATTAACACTGATGGAGCCCCTGGGTCCAGCTCTAATTGGTTTACATCTTTTTGCCCTTGTCTCACAGAGTACACAGAGAGCCTGGGTGATGCCAAGAGCGAAGACTTCCGGCAGGCCGAGCAGAAGAGGATCATGGACCTGCTGGATGAATTCTGAAGTCGCCAAACCTACCGCCGCCCCCTTCACCGTCATCACCGCACGCCGTGTCGATAGTTAGCGCAGCACCCGCTGTGTCTATACACCATGAATCATTGGAGATGTTTTAGGACAATCGTTGCCCCAAAACATCATCAACAGATTCGGCAACTGCATGGCGACTTGCAATGGTGTAGAAGTGGCGGTGGAGAGTTCTCTAGCCAATGAAAACACACACACGTTAAAAAGAGCAAGTGATTGGTCTATGCAAAACACAACCTTGGCTAGTCCACGTGGCCCACGTAATATTGCGAGTCTCTATCCCAGTTACACACCATATTTCAGCAACAACTACAATAAAAATAGGGTGCATTAATGTTAAGCATTTGATGACCAATGGCTCCACCTTTGGCAGGGTCATAATCGTTCACTGGGCACCCAGGTATGTGCCAGGTTAAGCCTATCCTCAGGGTTTCATTTCTCACGCAAATATTTTCTGGGTGGCTGGTAGACTGGAGTAGATAGCAAGTGACTACTATTAGTATCCACAGCCTTTGCAGTGGATACTACTAGACCAGGACAGACCCAGCTGACACTAAGCCCTGCCTGTCCTAGAGTCAATCCACTACTGAAGGAGAGTCTGCCCACACCCTTACCACACCCTGCCCACACCGAGTGGGCCGTGCGGGTTATTTGACCATACTTTCACCGCACTGGTCTGTGCAGGTCTGTGCAGGTCTGTGGTGGTATGTTCATACCCGTGGTAGGTTCATATACGTGGGGGGCATAGAAAGTACAGTCGAACGATGAATTTTGCTCCAACTTTCCTGTTAACCACCTTGTAGCCCCGCAGCATCCTATAACAAACCTGACTTGCATGGTGGTCACCCGTCAAAAGCATTGTCCAGGCTGAAATCAGCTTAGCTGCCGAGATCGGACACATTCCTGGTAATTTGGTCATCGGCAGTTCATACTTACCCCACTCTTATTTTTTTCTACATTTTTGATGTATTTAAAACAGTCCGGATACAGTTGCATCTGCTACAGTTATGAAAGAGTTACCACAACGATGAGAGGCCGTTTAGAAAGAAAATCCGTTTTGTAAATGTCATTAAATGTGAATAATAAACTTTGTTCTAGTAAAATGCACTGAGCAAGCGTTTTGTGTGTGTGAGAATGTTAACTTTCAAAGTGGCACCAAAGACAAAAACAAAGATCCCCCATATCGCTAACAGACTGTTGGGCAAGTCCTGTTAGCGAGCACTTAAGAAGGCCGGCACTGCACACATGGGGGTGGGTGGCCAGCATCACTCCAGACCACATTTCCCCAGTGGCAATGTTTACACATCTCACCAGGTACTCATTTGAGGCTGAGTCGACCTAGGGGAGGCCCAGGTACCGATTCAGATAATCGTCACTGGTGTTGGCCGTGAGTGGGAATCGAACTCGGACAACCGGGTTTGTACACAATAGCGCCATCAACAACATCAACGGTATGAGCAAGTGAGGGCGAATTGCGGCCATGGTCAAATCTCGATTACACTCGTGTGGTAAGGGGGAAGAAGTGGCCTGGACTGAGCCGTCCCTTGGGTATGGCGAATCGAGGCGACTACCCCGGGCCCTGCGCTTGGGGGGGGGGGGGGCGCCTAGCGCTTCGACGTCACAGTGCCAAATGTAACACATCCGGCTTAGTTTTAAGGTGTCAAGGGGGCCCCGCACCTCCCCGTGGGTACGGACGACGGCCCGGATAAAAACAAAAAACTCAGGTATAATGCAAAACGACCTTAAATTAGGCGATTAAAAAAAAACTAATTTACGACAGAGCGGGGGACCGAGAGAAAGGAAAAGAAGCAGAGGACGATGGCGGAAGAGAAGGCAGGGTGAGGACATCAAAGAATTTGGAGGCCGCTCCTGCACATGAGCAACTGGGGGAAAGAAGGGACTGGAAAAGACCATTAAACTACATCTTTTAAACTATGAGACGAAGTTTCACCCTCTCTGGCAGTAAACCAGTTGCGTTAAGATGTTAAAACACCGAACAGAAACCTTTTGCAAGGAATCATGTCTCCATTAACCACAGATACTTGTGGTGAACATGACAACAAAAACAATCAGTTTCAAACAATGCATAAACTACCAGAGCATGTTGTTGCCTGTGACCCAGTGCTGTGGAGGCAGCAGCGAGGGTTGATGGATCACACACAGATGGGCTGTGAAACTCTCTTCCCGTGGGCGTGCAGGAGGAGGAGGAGCCCGTGCCCTGGCTCGCCAGGGGAATGCGGTTACAGCGAGTGGACCAATCGCCTTCTGTTTCCATCTGTACGGGGATAGAGCGTTGCTCCCTTGTGCATGATGCTTTTCTCCGGGTGCTCCGGTTTCCTCCTCACACGTGAATAATTAAACACAACTCATCATTAATCGGCTGAAAACATCCTAAAATAGTCTGATAAAAAAAGATATTCTGATCAAATAAAACTCTAAAACTCCAATGTAGTGGCAGGACCCTCCTGAAACCTCCAGCGTGGCTCTCCGGATAAATAATAAAATAATTATTATTCGTGGAGAACTCGTTGCTATGCAATGTACAAATAACGGATGTCGTTTTCATACTCTTCAAACAATCCTGTACTCTTCAAACAATCCTGTACTCGGAGCACTAATGTTTCACGTAATAAAATACCAATATGTGTTTTTTTATGTTCTCTATGATTCAAAGGATATTCTGAGGAAAACAATAACACTGTGTGTATGCGGGGGAAGGACAATATTAATATCACAAGATGGAAAAGTTAGAGCAATTTTAAATTAACCGTGTCAGTCTTCTGTATTCGTCACTCCCACCTCTTCGGTGTCGCTAGCTATTGTCTTCAGTGTGGCTAGCTATTGTCTTCGGTGTGGCTAGCTATTGTCTTCGGTGTGGCTAGCTATTGTCTTCAATGTGGCTAGCTATTGTCTGCGGTGTCACTAGCTATTGTCTTCGGTGTCGCTAGCTATTGTCTTCGGTGTGGCTAGCTATTGTCTTCGGTGTCGCTAGCTATTGTTTTCGGTGTCGCTAGCTATTGTCTTCGGTGTCGTTAGTTATTGTCTTCGGTGTGGCTAGTTATTGTCTTCGGTGTAGCTAGCTATTGTCTTCGGTGTCGCTAGCTATTGTCTTTGGTGTGGCTAACTATTGTCTTCGGTGTCGCTAGCTATTGTCTTCAGTGTGGCTAGCTATTGTCTTCGGTGTCGCTAGCTATTGTCTTCGGTGTGGCTAGCTATTGTCTTCAGTGTGGCTAACTATTGTCTTTGGTGTCACTAGCTATTGTCTTCGGTGTCGCTAGCTATTGTTTTCGGTGTCGCTAGTTATTGTCTTCGGTGTCGTTAGTTATTGTCTTCGGTGTGGCTAGCTATTGTCTTCAGTGTGGCTAAATATTGTCTTCGGTGTCGCTAGCTATTGTTTTCGGTGTCGCTAGCTATTGTCTTCGGTGTCGTTAGTTATTGTCTTCGGTGTGGCTAGTTATTGTCTTCGGTGTAGCTAGCTATTGTCTTCGGTGTCGCTAGCTATTGTCTTTGGTGTGGCTAGCTATTGTCTTCGGTGTCGCTAGCTATTGTCTTCGGTGTGGCTAGCTATTGTCTTCGGTGTCGCTAGCTATTGTCTTTGGTGTGGCTAGCTATTGTCTTCAGTGTGGCTAACTATTGTCTTTGGTGTCGCTAGTTATTGCCTTCGGTGTGGCTAGCTATTGTCTTCGGTGTCGCTAGTTATTGTCTTCGGTGTGGCTAGCTATTGTCTTTGGTGTCGCTAGCTATTGTCTTTGGTGTGGCTAGCTATTGTCTTCGGTGTGGCTAGCTATTGTCTTCGGTGTCGCTAGTTATTGTCTTCGGTGTGGCTAGCTATTGTCTTTGGTGTCGCTAGCTATTGTCTTCGGTGTGGCTAGCTATTGTCTTTGGTGTGGCTAGCTATTGTCTTCGGTGTAGCTAGCTTTTGTCTTCGGTGTGGCTAGCTATTGTCTTCGGTGTGGGTAACTATTGACTTCGGTGTGGCTAGCTATTGTCTTCGGTGTCGCTACCTAATGTCTTCGGTGTGGCTAGCTAATGGCTTCGGTGTGGCTAGGTAATATCTTCGGTGTGGCTAGCTATTGTCTTTGGTGTGGCTAGCTATTGTCTTCGGTGTCGCTACTTATTGTCTTGAGTGTGGCTAGCTAATGGCTTCGGTGTGGCTAGGTAATATCTTCGGTGTGGCTAGCTATTGTCTTTGGTGTGGCTAACTATTGTCTTTGGTGTCGCTAGTTATTGCCTTCGGTGTGGCCAGCCATTGTCTTCGGTGTGGCTAGGTAATATCTTCGGTGTGGCTCGCTATTGTCTTCGGTGTGGCTCGCTATTGTCTTTGGTGTGGCTAGCTATTGTCTTTGGTGTGGCTAACATTGTCTTTGGTGTGGCTAGTTATTGTCTTTGGTGTGGCTCGCTATTGTATTCGGTGTGGCTAGCTATTGTCTTCGGTGTGGCTAACTATTGTCTTCGGTGTGGATAGCTATTGTCTTTGGTGTGGCTAGTTATTGTCTTCGGTGTGGCTAACTATTGCTTATTGCCTTCGATGTGGCTAGCTATTGTTTTCGGTGTGGCTAGCTATTGTCTTCGGTGTCGCTAGTTATTGTCTTTGGTGTCGCTAGCTATTGTCTTCGGTGTCGCTATTGTTTTTGGTGTTAGCAAGCTATTGTCTTCGGTGTGGCTAACTATTGTCTTTGGTGTGGCTAGCTATTGTCCTCAGTGTCGCTAGCTATTCTCTTCGGTGTCGCTAGCTATTGTCTTTGGTGTTCGCAAGCTATTGTCTTTGGTGTGGCTAACTATTGTCTTTGGTGTGGCTAGCTATTATCTTCAGTGTGGCTAAATAATGGCTTCGGTGTCGCTAGCTATTGTCTTCGGTTTTCTTTCCGCATTTAGAATCATCACGCGTTTAGAGTATGTGGCTGCTATACATGTCCACACGATGATAAGTCACGTCGTTGAGCTATCATTTGTCGCCAGGTCGCTTCTGAAAACAAGCTATATCGCTCAATGAGCCTTACCTGGTAAAGTCAAGAAAATAGTTCATAGTTTCGTTTTTAGCTTCGGTGGCAACGGCCCGCAGCATCCACTAAGTTTTTGGGGTGGACAGGAGCCCAGACAGCAGCCAGCCAGGAAACTCGAGCAAGCGGTTTGATTTTTAATGAACACACTTTTTTCCTTTACGTTCCACGTTTTATATTACTTTAATTAGAGCAGGAACGTGATATTGCAAGGAGATGACTGTACTACGGAGCTCTAGTCGTGGAATTTTGCGAATAGGGAGCCGCCCCAACAGCGGTAAATATTCGAAACCGTGAGCGTAATGATTGCAATTCGGGCAAAGAGGAGCCGCGATATTTAATAGCCTCGACGGTGCGACCGTGCAAATAAACAAATCAAAGAGACAAATCAAAGGGCTGGTAATATACACAGCCACCCACACGGTGCTGTCCACTCTGGGGCTGGTGTTACACACAGCCACCCACACGGTGCTGTCCACGCTGGGGCTGGTGTTACACACAGCCACCCACACGGTGCTGTCCACGCTAGGGCTGGTGTCACACACAGCCACCCACACGGTGCTGTCCACGATGTTGGAACATCGAACGGCACAACCCTTCCGGGCCGGCACCATACAGTGATATACCCGATGTCACTACACAGTACACACTCACTGATATGTCAAATATCGTAGTCTTATTACTGTGGAGTTGATACACCATTGATATGATAAATATCGTAGTGTTATTACTGTTGAGTTAGAACATCCACTGATATGACAAATATCGTAGTGTTATTACTGTGGAGTTGATACACCATTGACATGACAAATATCGTAGTGTTATTACTGTGGAGTTGGTATATCCACTGATATCACAAATATCGTAGTGTTGTTACTGTGGAGTTGATTCACCATTGATATGTCAAATATCGTAGTCTTATTACTGTGGAATTAGTACACCTGTAGCGGGACAAACTAAGTCCCAAACGTTGTTCCTTTAAGAGGGAACACTTTTATTTGTAACACCGTAACACAAAGGGGTAACTGCCCCTTTGCCAGACTACAGCGAGTTACTGCTACGAAGGGTCGATCCCTCACTCGGATCTCAGACCACGTGGTTGCCTCGTAAGACGGAGAGCTTCAGCTTGAGACGTAGAGCTTCCCGCTTCGAGGTGTTGAGCTTACAGCTTGCAGATGTTGAGCTTCCAGCTTGTAGATGTTGAGCTTCCAGCTTGTAGATGTTGAGCTTCCTGCTTGTAGATGTTGAGCTTCCAGCTTGTAGATGTTGAGTTTCCTGCTTGTAAATGTTGAGCTTCCTGCTTGTAGGTGCTGAGCTTCCAGCTTGTAGATGTTGAGTTTCCTGCTTGTAGATGTTGAGCTTCCAGCTTGTAGATGTTGAGCTTCCAGCTTGTAGATGTTGAGTTTCCCGCTTGTAGATGTTGAGCTTCCAGCTTGTAGATGTTGAGCTTACAGCTTGTAGATGTTGAGTTTCCAGCTTGTAGATGATGAGCTTCCTGCTTGTAGATGTTGAGCTTCCCGCTTGTAGGTGTTGAGCTTCCAGCTTGTAGATGTTGAGCTTACAGCTTGTAGGTGTTGAGCTTACAGCTTGTAGATGTTGAGCTTCATGCTTGTAGATGTTGAGCTTCCAGCTTGTAGGTGTTGAGCTTCCAGCTTGTAGATGTTGAGCTTCCAGCTTGTAGATGTTGAGCTTACAGCTTGTAGATGTTGAGCTTACAGCTTGTAGATGTTGAGCTTCATGCTTGTAGATGTTGAGCTTCCAGCTTGTAGGTGTTGAGCTTCCAGCTTGTAGATGTTGAGTTTCCTGCTTGTAGGTGTTGAGCTTCCAGCTTGTAGATGTTGAGCTTCCAGCTTGTAGGTGTTGAGCTTCCAGCTTGTAGATGTTGAGTTTCCTGCTTGTAGATGTTGAGCTTCCAGCTTGTAGGTGTTGAGCTTCCAGCTTGTAGATGTTGAGTTTCCTGCTTGTAGATGTTGAGCTTACAGCTTGTAGATGTTGAGCTTCCTGCTTGTAGATGTTGAGTTTCCAGCTTGTAGATGTTGAGCTTACAGCTTGTAGATGTTGAGCTTCCATCTTGTAGGTGTTGAGCTTCCAGCTTGTAGGTGTTGAGCTTCCAGCTTGTAGGTGTTGAGCTTCCAGCTTGTAGATGTTGAGCTTCCATCTTGTAGGTGTTGATCTTCCAGCATGTAGATGTTGAGCTTCCAGCTTGTAGGTGTTGATCTTCCAGCTTGTAGATGTTGAGCTTCCAGCTTGTAGGTGTTGAGCTTCCTGCTTGTAGATGTTGAGCTTCCAGCTTGTAGGTGTTGAGCTTCCAGCTTGTAGATGTTGAGTTTCCTGCTTGTAGGTGTTGAGCTTCCTGCTTGTAGATGTTGAGTTTCCTGCTTGTAGATGTTGAGCTTCCTGCTTGTAGATGTTGAGCTTCCAGCTTGTAGGTGTTGAGCTTCCAGCTTGTAGATGTTGAGCTTCCCGCTTGTAGGTGTTGAGTTTCCTGCTTTTAGATGTTGAGCTTCCTGCTTGTAGATGTTGAGCTTACAGCTTGTAGATGTTGAGCTTACAGCTTGTAGGTGTTGAGCTTCCAGCTTGTAGATGTTGAGCTTCCTGTTTGTAGATGTTGAGCTTCCCGCTTGTAGATGTTGAGCTTACAGCTTGTAGATGTTGAGTTTCCAGCTTGTAGATGTTGAGTTTCCTGCTTGTAGAATGCAGCGACCCCGGTCCCTCTCAGGGACCCGCCTTATATCCCTCTCTGGTCGGGGCCGCTCCGCCCTCGGCCCCGCCCACCTTCTCGAGCATTCTCGTTTCCTCTCGATCCTTCTCAAGAGCTCTCTCCGGACACGTGATCACCCACTAGCCCCCCCCCCCACCTGGGGCCCCGTGTGTGGACACTCCGGATCACGTGTCTCCGGGGTCAACCAGAGTGCCAAGGCCTGGGGCAACCCTGCCCCTGGGCTGACGCTCACCCCCTCCCCCTCGTGGGAGCCCCCACCACACGCTGTGCGTGGTGCCCGCACTATCCCAGTGCTCACCAAGCCCTGCTAGGGCTGGTGTCACACACAGCCACCCACACGGTGCTGTCCACGCTAGGGCTGGTGTCACACACAGCCACCCACACGGTGCTGTCCCCGCTAGGGCTGGTGCTACACACAGCCACCCACACGGTGCTGTCCACGCTAGGGCTGGTGTCACACACAGCCACCCACACGGTGCTGTCCACGCTAGGGCTGGTGTCACACACAGCCACCCACACGGTGCTGTCCACGCTGGGGCTGGTGTTACACACAGCCACCCACACGGTGCTGTCCCCGCTAGGGCTGGTGTTACACACAGCCACCCACACGGTGCTGTCCACGCTAGGGCTGGTGTTATACACAGCCACCCACACGGTGCTGTCCACGCTAGGGCTGGTGTCACACACAGCCACCCACACGGTGCTGTCCACGCTGGGGCTGGTGTCACACACAGCCACCCACACGGTGCTGTCCCCGCTAGGGCTGGTGTCACACACAGCCACCCACACGGTGCTGTCCACGCTGGGGCTGGTGTCACACACAGCCACCCACACGGTGCTGTCCCCGCTAGGGCTGGTGTCACACACAGCCACCCACACGGTGCTGTCCACGATGTTGGAACATCGAACGGCACGACCCTTCCGGGCCGGCACCGTACAGTGATATACCCGATGTCACTACACAGTACACACCCACTGATATGTCAAATATCGTGGTGTTATTACTGTGGAGTTGGTACACCATTGATATGACAAATATCGTGGTGTTGTTACTATGGAGTTGGTACACCCACTGATATCACAAATATCGTGGTGTGATTACTGTGGAGTTAGTACACGATTTATACGACAAATATCGTGGTGTGACGACTGTGGGGGCCTCTGAGTGACATCTCACATCGAGGGCCATCGCCTCCACTCCACCCCACCAACATTGGCAGCTAGTTTGGGTCACAACAGCGTTAAGGGGGCCCCGCTACGGTCACCCGCGACACGCTTCGCGAACGCAAGTCGCCTCGGGGGCACTCTTCAACCGCGCCCACCGGACTCGCGCCCGCCCCTCCCGCTCGTGGCACCGTTCGAAGAGCGCCCCCGGGGCGTTCTGTCTTCTCAGAGCTCGCCGCGCGCAGTCGCCTCCAGAGCGGCCCCAGCCCGGCCAAAGGCGGCGCGGTGACGCCATTTTGCGTGGCCTGCCTCGCTCCTCCACCCCGTGCCGTTGATGTCTTCGCCGCCGCCGCCGTCTTCGTCGCCGCCGCAGCCGCCGCCGCCGCCGCCGCCGCCGTCGTCGTCGTTGTCCTTTCTTCCCTTCGTCAAGAGCGGTGGCGGGAACTGTACTACGGCTTGTTGTGAGCGTGGTGGTGGTGGTGGTAGTAGGTAGTGGCGGTTGGGTGGTGGTGGTGGTGGTTGCAATGTCGTCCTTCTCGGAGTCTGCGCTGGAGAAGAAGCTTAGCGAGCTGAGTAACTCGCAGCAGAGCGTCCAGACGCTCGCCCTGTGGCTCATCCATCACAGGAAGCACTCCCGCAGCGTCGTGCAGGTCTGGCACCGCGAGCTCAAGCGAGGTGAGCTGAGCGCACTCTTGCAAAACCACCGGGGGGGGGCATGCGTGTGGGCACACGGGGGAGGGGGGGCGGCATGCGTGTGGGCACGGGGCACGGGGCACGGCTCGTGGGGGTCTGCCCACGCACCCGTGCCCACGGTGGACACGGCACGGGTGTGCACGCGCGTTACGACGATGATGGTGATGATGAATGGCGCGATGGGAGACACGAGGGTGGTTTGCACGTGGACAGGTACAGGTATGCGCGGCGTGTACTGTACGCTGAACTTCTTTGGCGCCGCACGTAGCCGGCCGTGCTCGTGTGTCCAGGGGCAGGCCTCGGTCGTGTGCATGGAGGCGAGCACGGGCATTTGGTTATTGGCACGGCTGCGGAGGTATGGGTACGGGGTTTTGATGCACGTGGACAGATTTGGGCACGGGTGTTGAGGCGAGTGCCGGTGTGGACATGGGCGAGGGGGAGACGTGGACGAGGTGTGATTGCGGGTTACTGCCACCGCTTGTGGGGACAGGCTGTGGGTGACGAGATGTTGACTACCTCGCCTGGTGTAGCCCTGTAGAGCCATGCGCCTCTGTAGTCGGGTGCAACCGCAACAAACTAAATGTGAACAGAGAAACGTCTTAAAGCGACGGCGCGCAACAGAAACGTGCTGGGATAAGCCAGCAATAGAAGGCCGTGCATTCAATCCCGACCCTGACGATGCCTGTGCTGTTGCTGCTGCTGCTGTATATTTTGAGTTTGCGGTGTCTCTCTGTCTCTCCCCGTGGTCGCGTTGATTTCTCTCCGGCTCCGGTTTCCCCCCCCCCCTACACGTTTATAATCAACATCACGCGTTTAGAGTTAAGTGGCTTCTATAAATTTCTATGTGATAATTCAACTTCGTTGAACTATCATTTGCGATAGCCAGGCCGCTTATGAAGAAGAGCTATGGGGCAGCTCCGTAGGCCTTCTTATCTGGTCAAATGTAACAAAAAAAATTGTTTAGTTTTAGTATGCCCCTAACTCTCCCCCCCCCCCCAATACCTGTCCCGTTCTGTGGACATTGAGGACGGCGGTGCCGGCTGAGGTGCTGTGGGGGTGATTGCTCGTGGAAATATCGGCTGAAGTGGCTCGATAAATGTGACGCTGAAGATGCGGGACTGGTAGTGCTCATCGCTCTGCTACTGGTGGGTTCTAATGGAGGTGGTGAAGCCTGGGTCATGTAGCCCGCATGCCCAGCCACCGCATGCCCAAGCAGCTTCTGTTTGGCCGCATAGAGAGGGCTAAACGGACACGGCACGGGCTAGAGAGGAGATGGAGTGATGTGGTACGGGAGGACGTGGAGCTGAGTGGACTTGCCGATGACCGGTACCAGCGGTGTCAAGATCGGCCTCAAGATCGGCCTCTGTGGAGGAGGCTCGTGAAGGACGCTGCTGGGCAGTTGGAGGCAGTCGCCCTCCAACAACAACGGAGGGCGGAGGAGCGACGCTCACAACAACGAGCGGTGCGCCGTGCAGATAAAATACAGCAAGTTAGCACAGTAGGGGGTAGAGCTGGTGGTGCATCTGCCAGTCATCTCAGCCAACCCGCGGCACTGGGGTCTGCTCCGAGACCTCCTGTTCGTGAGCCTTCGACACTTCACGTGGCCTCAAAGTGCACTTGGCCTGGCACGGTCGCCGTGGTGACATCGCCACACTTCGTGGCGATTGTCGGGAATTGGTATTGGATTGGTGGAGCTGGCGGTACAGGTGGTGGCTGTGGTGGTGGTGACGGTCGCAGGTGCCAGAGGCCACCTGTGGAGGTGGAAAGTGGATTTTGCTGACCATTGAGAGGGCATTGCTGGTGTGTAGTGTGTAGTGGATTTTGCTGACCATTGAGAGGGCATTGCTGGTGTGTAGTTGCCAGGTGAAAGTGCAGCTAGGGGTTGGGGGGGGTCATGTGCGTGGTGTTGAAGGGTGAGGTGAAGGGAGGATACATCTTTGCAAAGGTGCAGTCGATGTTGGTGGTGATGATGTTGGAGTTAAGTAGTAGGTGGGCGGACAGGTATGGGCACAGCCTTGGAGACGAGTCGTGTGCAGTTCGAGGTCGTAAGTGTGTACACGCTCATTAAATGTGTGCACATTTATTGGCGATACAATTTACGTAAACAAACGTTAAAAGTAACATTTTTTGCCCATAAAGGTATTGGACTTCCAGGCTGATGTTAACCAGCAACTGTTGATTATTACAGCAAATTCTAGACCAGTTTCAAACTTTTTTGTCTCATCAGCTCACTCAGGCCAGTCAAACCAAATGCTGCCGAATTTGCCAGAAGTTCTTGACAAGAGCCACTGACCCTGAGGGGTTTAGAGTTAACTGAGGCGTTGTCGAAGGCGATGGTGCAAGAGACAGCGTAAATAGATCTTGGAGTTGCTGGTGATGGAACCAGGTTGCGTTTGGGGTGTTGTTATGAATAGATGGATAGGTGTATGTATGTTGAACTACTTTCGTACCATAGCCAACCGTGCTAATCGGAGGTGTGAGGGAAGGACAACAAACAACACATTAAGCAGTATTAAAGAAAGGAGTTATCAATCGAGATTATTAAAAGTGCATAGCTCCAGTGGCTTCTTAATATCAGAAGGAAGAGCGTTCCAGATGGCTGCAGACGCACATCTGAAAGCGCGCGATGCAGTGACTGTGGTTTTTGGAAGAGGTGACATTGGCAGAAAGAGGAACACGTGCATTGAAGAACTTGCACAAGTTAGACAGCAGATTGACTGTTAAGAAAAGTACGTGGTGGGCCTGCGGCCGGAATTGTTGAACCGGAGGTTCAGCCTAACGACGCAGTGGCCAGCAAAGGAGTGAACGCGCCCGAGAGGGCGTCCGCCACTGAAGTTATGGCATTGAATTCGGCTCGCGTGCAGGAGCCAGGTGAAGTGTTGCATCGCGAATCTTGTCCGAAATACGTAGCAACGGCTTGGTGACACGTTCGTTCGGCAGTGCCTGTATCATGGCTGGTGATGAGGAATGTAATGATGGCTAGTATTGTGGAGGTCAGGTAGGGTGTCTCAGTCGTTGGCAAAGGTTGTGTCTGCTGAACCTTTTTTTGTGCCAAAATAAACTGCTTGGTGGAACCAGAAACACATTGTGCATTGCGTCGCAATCGGCAATGACTGCCGGTCTAACGCGACGCAAAACCAAGTGGTGGGAGTTCACTAAAATCCGTTAAAGTGCAGCGTGGTCTGTCATTGGCTCTCAGTGTTGTTATTGTTTTTTGCATCACGGCCAGGTATTTTTGCTGAACGGGTGTTGAGCGCAAATTACTTTGTGAACAATGTATGTGCTTTGTTTGACTATACTTCGCCTCGATGCTCGGTGTTGGTTAGCAAAGTGGCCGTGCGCACCTAGGGCCGGTTTCACACTTCACTTTCCATTGATGTTGTACGTGGCCCACGAATCAAACTCAGTTCGTCGGGTTGATAGCGCATTTCTTTAAACGCTGTGCCACCACTCGCACCCCTGCTGTTTTGCTTTCACGGTCAAATGTCACTGCGGTTGGCTTTTAGGTGAATGCAATGAATGAGTACATTCTCAATTACTATTGCCTTTCTATTTAATGCAGTGTCATTGTCATGTGACCAAATCACCCGGAATGCACCCAATCTCATCAGATTTTGGCAGCTACGGGCTTATGTTTGAGTCTGTATAGTGCTCGGATGGGCAGCCACGATGCGTGTAACAGGCGTCATAGGCTGCTGCAGAGCTACGTTGCAAGCAGCAGATGGCAGTGAGGCAAAGTCCTTTGTCGTACCGTAGTTCTATGCTGACCAGCGTGGTGAAGAATGTTAACAGTAACAGACAAGGCCAGGGAGGACTTCATACAGTGGTGGGGTTGATAAAGGGCTGAAAAAATGTCATTGTTGCAAAGCCATTCGTTGTCAATTTAGAGACGAAAGAGACAAACATTCACTTGCAACAATTTTTTTATTTTTAACACGAAGCCTTTCGTGACCCATAAACCTCTCGGTGGGACAATTCTGGCGATCGCCTGATGAGGCTGATTGTAATCACCAGGGAAACGTCGCGGTACTGGAATTGTGAACGTTGTAGTGGGTTTGCTCTCCAACGCACCGGTGTGCTGAACTAGTAACTAATTTTTATTTAAAGCTTTCGTGACTGCAGTGATTCATATTCGTGGTTCTTTCGGTAAAGTCACGTTGAAGGGAAACAATAAAATAATATTATATATAAAACAATACAATTCTCACGACGTTTCGACTGTAACGCAAACAGTCATCATCAGCTGTGAAAAACCAACGGCATGAAACTTTTCTTTCAAATGTTTCTTGCCGTTGTTTTTTCACACCTGATGATGACTGTTTGCGTTACAGTCGAAACGTCGTGAGAATTTTATTGTTTTATATATATTTTATTGTTTCCCTTCAACGTGACTACCGAAAGAACCAAGAATATAGTAACTAATTGGCACGTTTTGTTTATGTGACAAACCTTACTAATTGACTGTCGGGTTGTAGTGGGTTTAATAACACATTTATGTGATCTAACCCAAAAAAAACGTAGTTTTGGAAACTATTTTTATTTATACAAGAAAAGCGCATTAAGTCTCAATCCTTTATTCTGGAACTCCTGCATTTGTATGGCCGGCCGGTTACATTCGTGAGAGTTTGGCTTCATGTAGGAGTAACCCGGAGAATATCGCAGCATGCAAGAGGATAACACTCAATGCTGCAAGTAGGCTCCGTCATCCTTTGCTGTACCGTTCTGCCATTTCTTGGCCACCTTGTAGCCCCACACATACAAGTACCAAGCAGGATCAAAGCCTGCTTGGCTTCCGAGTATTCGGGGGGATTGGGTCGGTTGTCGGAAAAAAAACGCACCAACTCGGTGGACTCTCACCTGGTAGAAATTAATCTTACGAAGCAGGTGGCTCGTTTTGTCCACCCGTATGTGTGTGTGTGTATGTAGTGATGTTTACACACCGCACCAAGTACTAATTTAGGGGGGAAAAGGCCCAGGACCGGTTCAGATAATCGTCATTGGTGTTGGCTGTGAGCGGAAATTTTACTCGGGTTGCTGGGTTCGTAGCGCAGTGCGCTAACTACTACACTACCGCTCCCCACTTTGTCTTTGTGTGTGTATCAGCGGTTGTGTAGTGGTTGGCATGCTGCTCTATGAACCCAGCGACCCGCTCACAGCCAAGACCAGTGACGATTATCTGAATCAGTCCTTGGCCTCCCCTAGGTCGACTCAGCCTCAAATGAGTACCAAGTGCAGCGTATAAACATTGCCACTAGGGAGACAAAGGCGGCCGGGAATGTTGCTGGCCACCGACCCTCTGTTGTGCCGTGCCGGCCTTTGATAGATGCTCGCTAGCAACACTAGCCTCCAAAGTCTGTTAAAGCCACACAGGGGATATTTTTCTTTGTCTTGTGTATTATGCCTTCCAGCAAAGCCGAGCCGGAAGCTGACATTCCTCTACCTGGCCAACGACGTGATCCAGAACAGCAAGAAGAAGGGGCCCGAGTTTGGACGAGACTTTGGGCCCGTGCTGGTGGATGCCTTCGGACATGTGGCCAGGTGAGCGGGGGTGTCCGAGGTCACAGGTCGCCTCGTGAGATATGTTGGCACCACGAGCGAGCGAGCCTCACACCAGGCACACCAAGTGGGTGGGTGAAAGGGTGGGTGGATGGGTATACGGGTGGGTGGGTGGTTGAAAGGGTGAAAGGGTGGGTGGATGGGTGAAAGGGTGGGTGGGTGAAAGGGTGGGTGCATGAGTTGTTGAATGAGTGGGTAAATGGGTGGGTGGGTTGCAACTAGAGGCCAACCGAAATTCGGTTGCGGCGCCAAAAGTTGGCAAATTGGCCTCTTTCGGCATACTTTCGGTTTCGGCCGAAAGTAAATTTTTAACTTTTGGTCTTATTTCGGTTTAGGCCCAAACTGATATTGACTTTCGGTCGTCATTCGTCAACCGAAGATCTATTTTTAGAATATAACGCTAGTGCTATGTCTATCACTCTGCCTATCGGCCAGTCAGTCGGCGCTAGGCAATCCTATGCGATAGGCTGCAAACACAACACACACGTCAGCAGCAGCAGCTTGGGAGCGAGGTTACAGCCACAACCATGGTCTGCTAATGTATATACGACTGGTCAACAGGTCGCAGCCTGTCTGGCTGAATGCGGATAAACTGTTGATTCTTAACTACAACATTCGTCTGTTTGGATATAATTACTAAGTAAGTAACACCTAAAGATTTGATATTTAGCGACTCTTATTGCAGGCTCTGAATACTTAATTCTAGATTTATTTTTAATTAAAGTAGCATTGCATCATGACATATTTCATAAATCTTGTGTTCGATAACTTCAGTTATATACCTTTCTGTTTCGGTTTCGGCCGAAAGTGTAGTTCAACTTTCGGTTTCGGCCGAAAGTTAATTTTCTACTTTCGGTCTGGTTTCGGTTTCGGCCGAAACCAGAAATTCAGTTTCGGTCGGCCTCTAGTTGCAATCTGCACTGTGGTGGTTGAATCGTCATTCTGATAGACTGCTTCTTCAACTCTCGTGGCGGAATCAACGAGTGAAGTTCACGGAAACAGTAACCACAGTAATAGCGATAGCAGAGTGATAAGGAGGCGAGAGTGATTGCTGGTCAGCGAGTGTCTATGCAATTATGTTGAACTTCTTTCGCACCGTATGTAGCCAACCATGCTAATCGGAGGTGCGGGGGGAAGGCCAATAAACTAAACACAAAGCAGTTGTAAAGAATGAGTTTTCAATCTTGATAATTAAAAATTTTAATAGCTCCAGTGACTTCCTAATATCGGAAGGAAGAGCGTTCCTGATGACCGCAGAAGCGCAACTGAAAGCGTGTGGTGCGGTGTCCGTCTTTGTTCGATGGTTAGTCGAAAGGCGCTACGAGGATGAAAGTGGCTGGAGTGAATTAGTTCTGGATCTTCGATCAATCGGACTGCTTCACGTTCATTTCTGTAGAGTGCAGTGAGGTAGGATGCTCACCGCAAATGTGAAAGCTGCAGAGTGTTCTACGTTTGGTCAAATTTGTGCTTTGTATAGTCGTAACGGTGCTAACACTAGAGAGGAGGGGGATGAGGACGAAGACCCAGAAGCTTTTTTCAAAAGCGAGACCGAGGTCCGAATAAGAACAGCAAACTCTTTCCAACGTCTAAAAATCAACCGGTGCATACAAAACACCATTTACAAAATGTCCTGCACAGTTGAGAACAAATACAATTTACTACAAATTATATAAATATTAAGTATAACAACAGTGATAAGTGCCTGCTCTCAGTTTTTAATTCAAAAACGTCTTTAAATTTGGGTTTTAATGATTCGCCTCCACACCCCGCTACTCAAAATTGTATTGTCGCGATTCGATTCTATCATGTATTTTCTTACATTGTGGAGATTATAGCGGCCACTAATGGCTGCAAGGGGTGCCATCAACACATGACGTACAACACATACTTATCTAAAAATATCGTATTCATACACACGACATTTGATGCATGTATCACAGGCTTAAGAATCGATATTGATTCATGAAGCGATTTGCTCGTTACATTTTTACTTAACTCTATCGTCACGCGGTGTGGATGGCAATACGCTCTGTTTATTCAACCAAGAGCGTGATTCCAGAAAATACGCGTAAAATTCAACAGGCAGCGATTTGCGTAGGTTCCGAAACTACGTACATAAACTAAGTGTATTTGTGCGCGACTGAGCGGGAATTGCAACGCGAGGCACGCGCCAGTGGTTGCTGGAGGTTACCTCATCACTCCCGCTACACCAGCCAATCAACTGCCTGGAAAATAACCCCATGCAACATGGCCGCCGCAAAATCCCTAAACCAACATGGCCACCATGATGTCATCGCTCTGTGTGTTCAGTCAATCTATGGCTGAGGTAAGTTGTATACATTATTCATTTTTCTTTCAAGTGATGTTGGTTTGATTTTCTAAGCATTTGCATTTGTACGAGTGTGTGAGTGCCTGTATGTAAATCAGTTGGCGAATGGCAGCTGTTGTGTTTTTTGTGTGAAATTGTTTGAGGGCATTACTTTGCATGGGAATGTCTTAATGTGTGTGTGTGAGAGGGTGTTTTTGTGTGTGTATATATATCTTATGCAATGTGCTCGCCTTAATAGTTGCTCGCTAACAGTCTGTTAAAAAGTTATATGGGTGATCTTTGTAACTGTATTCATTTACAATGTGTGTGTGTATGGGATAGAGTAATTGCATGCTATTGTGCACGCGCATTTCTGAGTTTGGGTGTGTGTTTGTGAGTGTGTGGCAGTGCGTGTCTCTGCTTGTGTATTTGTGATATGTGGAGTGGTAGTGCAGCAGCTAGCGCACTGCACTACGACCCCGGCGATCCGAGTGACCTGGTGCGGTGTGTAAAAATTGCCACTAAGGAGACAAAGGCGGACGGGCATGGTGCTGGCCACCCGCCCCTTCATGCGCTGTGCTGGCCTGCATAGATCCTCGTTTACAGCACTTGCCCCGAAAGTCTGTTATGGCTATACGCGGGATCTTTTTCTTTGTGATGGTGTGTGTCTGTGTGGGAGCGCCTGTGTGTGGACATGAGCACTGGCGGACTTTGTGAGTGTCTCGACTGTCCATAAACTCTCTCGTAAGTCACGCGATTTATTTCGCCCGAATCCCATGTGGATTCGGCGCGAGAAGTCTTGGATTACGCAATTTCTAGAATTGCATGAGACATTTGGTACTCGGGCCTGGGGCATCTCCCCCCCCCTACTCCCCCATAGAGGGCATGGGGGTGGGTGGGGTGGGGGGACCCCATTTGTTACCTTTTTTGCGCCGCGTGCCGTGGCTTGCAATGCCGCGGCGTGTGCCTCAGCGTCTTTCCCCCCCTCCCCGCCGTCGGCATCTGACGAGTGTTGTTACGGCACAAGCGTCGCCTTCAGTTGGGACGAGCTTGTCGGTTTGAGCCACGAATCGCACGTTTGCGGCATTCTGCGCATTTCTCCGATGCGAGTTGAAGTTCACCGGTCGTTACAGAGCCCTGCAACCCAGCGGCGTTAAACTTACTGGACCCCCTCATTGGCTGAGGTTCAAAGAATAATAATGGAGTGGCAGCCGAGGAATGGGACGCGCACCCGAGAGGACATCCACAGAGGAGACGGAGCGATTAAATAATCAGCTTCTGTGTTCAAACTAAACTAAACTCTTTTTTATTTTACCAGGTAAGGCCCACTCTTTGTCAGAAACGACCTGGCCACAAATAAAACTTCAACGAAGGGACTTAGCATGTGGAAATGTATAGCGGCCAAATATTCTAAACGCATGATTCTAAATGTGGAGGAAAAAACAGGAGGACCCGGACCAAAAACTACGCAACCACGGGGAGAACACACAAACTCGAAATATACAGCAGGCGTCGGGGTCGGGATCAAACCCACGACCTGCTGTATACCAGGCCAGGTAGGTAACATCTCGCCACCGTGGTGGTCGGTAGATTATTACATTTCAGTATTGTGACAGATGGTGACGGCTTTGGAGGCCTTAATCCATGGCTGACGACGATGTTGGCTGAGTGGCTGCGCGTGTGTCCCCACTGCGTCTGCCCCGATTCCCTGCGTGACGATTCCTAGAGAGGCGGAGGATTCCTGCAAGAGGCCCATGGAGCGTGTGCTCGCCATCTGGCAGGAGAGAGCCGTCTTCGAGGCGGACTTCATCGACCAGATCCGACGGGCCATCGGTGAGTTCCGATATCATCGTCACGATTCACGCCATCATCAACTTGATTACCATTATCGTGGTCGTCGTCGCCACCATCACGATGATTGTCATCATCAAAAATCATCGGTGAAATAAGAAAGGACGGAAGAAAAAAACGAGAGAATTTCTCATTGTGAATTTAAACAAATTTAGAACCAAACAAGATGAAAGCTACACACCGGTTTCGTGATTACGCGTTACTGAATGCCCCCTCACAGGCTCTGGCGTTCTCGTGACCTCCTTCACTGCGTATCGATCACGTGTTTTTTGTCAACAAACTACTATCACGTAAAATTGATTGGCTTCTTTATTACGCTTTCAATTTAAACGACGAACGTAATTTCTCATGGTTCGGCGACCAACTGCAAGACCAGAAAAGCCGAGCGGTGGGCTATTGTGAGAGCTATTGTGAGAGCGGACACCGAGGTTGGGTTTCGACTCGACAGCAACGACTGGATCTGGCGTGAGGAAGGAAACGCTGGCGGGGTGTGGTAGCATTGGCAGAATTGGCCACGGTGACCTCTTGACCTCCATGTTCGAACAACAAATTAACCAAACGCATCTCAGGTAGCCAAAGGGCCAACCCATCATTACGGGTCTCCTGTACGCAGCCGTGACACGAAGGCACACGATGGCTTGCTCCCGCAACGACGTTCTAAACGTCCGTGCTCGCCTCTGAATGGCGGCGCTCCTCTCGTTGCCGCCATTCGCTCGTGCTCGCCACCACGCGTGGGGTTTGGTCGGAGGTGACGTCGGCGCTCGATGACGCGCGCCGACGCCTGGGCCGTGCCGCAGGTTCCCTGCCCGGTGGCGACGCGCCAAAGAAGGCGGCGCCGGACGTGAGCCGGCAGGCGGAGGAGAAGAGGCCGCCTCCCGTCGCCGCAGGCCACGCCAGCGGCAACGGCGGCGACAAAAAGGCGGCCAAGCGGCGGCACGAGCAGGTGCAGGTGGCCAAGACGGAGGAGGAGGACGACGACGACTACCTCGTCAACTGCTCCCCGCGCGAACCCCCGGAGGTGAACCTCACCGGCCGGGATTTGTCGTCCTCTCACTTTCTCTCGCCCTGTCTCTGTCCCGTGGCCACGGTCGCCGTCACGCTTTGACGGGTTTCGTCAGCTCGCTGTTTGCTGGAATGAAAAAAAAACTTCGACGTAAGTGCATTTTGGTGTGTGTGTGTAGGGTATTTTGTTTTGTACTATTTTGTTACGTTACCCCCCCCTCCCCTTTACTTTTGTTCCTCTTTCCTTGGCCTTCCTTTCACCTTATTAAACCCTACCGCTTTCCGTTGCTTGCAGTCCCTGCGTGAGTGGGGGCGCTGAGGCCCAATCTTCTCCCCGTTCCAGAACCCAGGAGCACTGAGTTCGGACTTTGGTCGTTCACGGAATTTTTGTGCACACTGCCCCCCACCCCACTTATTACGGCTCGTGCCTTTTACCGGGCTCGTGTCGAATAAATCAACTAAAACTATAACAAAAATTCCACGTCATACTTTTGACACCCAATTTTCATGAGCGAATGCAACATTTTCTGTCCACCGCTCACCTGCCGGCAGACGGAGGAGCTGATCAAGGCACTGCAGGAGCTGGAACAAGCGGCGTCGGGAGATGCGGCGGTGCGGCGCAGGATAGCAGCGCTGCCTCCTGAGGTGCAGGACCCCTCGCTACTCTCCAAGATCAAAGGTGCCCTACGATAGTCGTAACGTACGTTCGGTACGAGGTGCCGCCACGGTTCGATGGCTTCGCGACACCTGGGCTCTCCGTTAAACGTGTAATTGCTGGCGCTCTGACCGCTTCCGTCTACGCATGCGCGCCCACCCACCCACGCGTCAAACCCCAACCCTTTGTCGCGCCCGCGCCTGGCAAACATTAACGCGACCGCGCCGGGTCAATCGGCTTGCAGATGCGCCGTCGGCGGAGCGGCTGTCGCGGATGGTGGAGGAGGCGTGCGTGCTGTTGGCCGACTACAACGGGCGGCTCGCGGCCGAACTTGATGACCGCAAGCAGCTGGCGCGCATGCTCGCTAACTACCTGCGCTCGCAGAAGGAGCTGCTCGCCCAGAAGGAGCGCAAGCTGGAGGTGCCCGTACCCTTGTTTTGCTACTAGCCCTGCCCTGTCCGCCCTCCCGCTTGCACGTTGCCTGTTCAACCTGTCCATCAAACCGTCAGGAATCTCCATTAAGTCTGTCTCTGCCCTGCCATGCACACTTTGTCCACACAGCTGGTCTGTCCTGCTCCTGAGACGAGTCCGTTAAGTCACGTCCAGTCTGTCTTGTACACAATGTGCATCCACCTTATCCACTCGGAGTACAACATGTGCACCCACCCTGCCCGCCTTACCTTAGTTTGCTGTCCTTCCCCTGCACTTCCGATTAACACGGTTGGCTACGTACGGTGCGAAAGAGGCTCAACTTACATACCTTGTATAATCTTGATTTGAAGTTTTCATGACTGCAGGAATCCATACTCTTTGGTTCTTTCGGTAAAGTCACGTAGGTAGACAAAATAATAGATCACGACGTTTCGATCACATCGCAAGCGACCTAAAGATGACGGTCGCTTGCATTGCGAAGAGTTTGGATTCCTGCAGTCACGAAAGCTTCAAGTCACGTAGACCTACGTAGGTAGTCTACCTACGTGACTTTACCGAAAGAACCAAAGAGTATACCTTGTATCGTTTTTCCTTGAAATAATGTGAGTGGATATTCCATGATCCTGCATTAAAAAAAAAAATTGGGGACTGTAATAATAATAATTTGTCTCCCTCCCAAAGCTAAAAATTTGAACATCATATAAACCACAATGCCCCGACTCGTTAAAGATATCTCCACGCTGCACAGACATGTCATGCGCCAGGCAGTCCCCAGCTTAGTACAGGCAGACCTCGCTTAGCACGACCCCATAGAACGCCGATTCATTACAGTGCTCTTTGTCCTGGAGAAATAAATATACAACAATTTTTTTTAGAAAATCACAAAATAGAAAAAAGCGCTTACGAGTAAGGGAACGCAGCACTGAGGAAATGCGCCCGCCGCCATTTTGTTTGCATTAGCTCGGCCAATGAGATCGACGGACGCACCGAGCACCCCTCCCCGCCGCGGTTCAATTGTCACTATTCGTGGTCATGGTTATGTATTTTTAAAAAAATTCTCAATGTTATTGCATAATTTATCATTCAATGTTATCACAGTGCGAACATCCCTCGCCGATGTTTAAAAAACACACCCGCCCATAGCTCATCCAACCCCATCTCTCGCTACTGCCATGTAGGAGTACAGCAGAATGCACTGGTAATTACAGTCCATAATACTTAAGTTATTATAATACTATTATTTTGAATCTTGAGATAATGTTTATTATTAGCGCAGTTACCAATACCCCAATGAAGCCCTCACATATGTAAGAAATAACGCTGTTGGGAACGCATGGCATATATACACAACAGTATTATTACCCCTTGCAGTGCCAATTTGATTTTAGTGCTCTCATCTCCAGGAAAGCATGTATGATAACCTCAGCAAGGTGTAAATGTGCTGCATTGTTGAATTGCGAGCGTCGGCACGTCGGCCCGTCAGTGCGCTCACCGGACTGCCGTGTGTGCCCCGTGTGCCGTCTGTGCCGCGCGTGCCGCGCCCTTGGCGGGCACTTGTGGCGATGCAGGAGTACAAGCAAAAGCTGGCGAAGGTGACGCTGGTGCGGAAGGAGCTGAGGACGCACATCCAGAACCTGCCCGACTTCTCCAAACTTCCCGCGAGCACCAAGGGGCTGGCCCCGCTACCTTCGGCGGGCGACCTCTTCTCTAAAGACTGAACGAGCGTGCGGCCTGTCTCTCACTGTCTCTCGCCCGCCCGCGCGCCCAGGGCTCTTAAGTTGTGTATATATTTTTGGTGCCAGACCGCTTAGCAATTTGGCACCGTCGCGCCGGGTTGGGTCTTGCAGTCGGGCCAGGCCGGCGCTTAGCTGTCACAATCCACCGGGCGTCGACGGAGGGCTTTCCGGTTCGCCGACTCAGCGATTGTCTCCAAAAAATTCCGTGTCGCACCGTAGCTCTGGAGCCAAAGCTCTGGATTCTGGCCCATCCCCTGGCTGCCTGCAGCCAGGGGATGGGCACACAAACCACTCCCGGGCAGCGCGACACCACCCTGGGCTTGCTGGGGAGGCAGCACTGAAGGCGTGGGTGGGGGGGGAGTGGTAGGGGCGGGGGGGGGGTCTGTGACCATCCACCACGGAGCAAATCTCAATTGGCATTGCCCTGCTGACGATCACAGAGAGCGGAGTTTAGTTTATCCTGGCGAATAAATATGAAAGCGTCGAGCGTTTGAATTCCGTTTGGGTTTTCAAACGCATCCCCGTTGCGCGTAACAGGATGACAGCGGCCCTGTTTCCGGTGGAAGCTTTTACCGAGTTCGCTCTACAGGGCCTGCCCAATGCATTTTATAGATATTTTATTATTAAGAGTGGGACTCGCATAGGTAAGCTCTGGACCCGTGTCCATAATGGATTTTTTGGGGCTGCCGTTCCGTTTGTTTGGTGGGACCTCCTCTGGCAACCCCACCAAAACAGAGTGGCTGTTTGCGTAACGCACCTCGAGTGGAAACGTTCTTTGTCGTTAAAGCACAGTCGAAAGTTAATACGAACGGTCAAAGTCTGTTTGACTTGTGGCATGTGGATCCGGCCTTGTGATGATCACGAGAGAGTCGGAGCTTTCCATCCCCGGTGCTTGGATGACGCGTGGGGAGACTTGGCCTCAAGTTGATGTTGACGAGGTCTGGACACCACACTTTGCACCGCTCTGTCAACGCGCTTGCGACAGTAAACAGTCAACTCTAAAAGAGATATGAAATGTAAAGTTTAACAGCATAATGTATGTAATCAGTCTGTTGTTGAAAAAATGATTTTAAGAGTTATAGAGTGTTTTTTTTGTTACTTCTGGCGGTGCGCACATGAAGTGGCGCGTAGGCCGCTATTACAAGGGTCGGTGACGCTTCATTTTTTTAAACTTGTTTTGCCATGCAGTTTTACGTCTTGTTTATCGATCCGGTGCGTTCATTCTGCTGGAAACTGCTTACGATTCTGTTTAAAGACCCCCCCCCGGATAACAACGATGCATGGTGTATTTAATTTGTACGTGACATTACTACTTCATTAACAGCTCACGATTTTGGACAGCTGTCGACTCGAGGTGCGGGCGGAGCATGCCCGGTGTGACTCCCTCGGTGTCCGCGGCCACGTTTCGGCTGTTCCCAATCCCAATGTTTTCCGCGTCTGTACAAATTTTTGCAATAAACTGAAAATTCACGCGTTTCTCCTCCCACACCCCCCGCCCCCGCCGCCCTCCTCCCACTACCGTCATCATCTTCGGTACGCGTTCGTACGCCTCGTTGATGTCAAGTCAATTGCCGTAGCTGGCCTGGTTTTTATTGTTAATATTATTACTTTTACACTTGTTTAACCAGGTTTAGCCTTGCCGAGCGCTGACTTTTGTTTCAAGAAAGTCCTGATACAATTTCACAGTGGGGCAGGGCCCGCGATTGCCTCGTGTAATAATTTTGCCGTCGCCCCCCCCTCCCGCCCGCACCTCCGGTTAGCATGTTTGGCTATGTACGGTGTGAAAGAAGTTCAACATTCTTACAGATACTACACAATCCCAGGTTGAATAAATAGCGGGTGATCTTATTTTTGGCAACTTTGGACTGCGTGGCGCTGGCACACGTGGCCTTAATGCTCCTTCGAACGCCGTCGCGGGATCTTTGACGTCCACTGTGCATCAGACGGCGGGAAGCGTTTTCTGGTTAAGACGCCTACAGCAATTAGAATCGGAATATTGTATTTATACTGGAGGAATCCGATGAGCTGTAAAGCTATTTTTCACAGATGTCTCGTAGGGGTGGGTAAAAACGTTACAACAGCAAACAATACAAAACTATAGGAGTGCAAACTACGGCAAAGGTAAGCAAATCGCCCAAAAGCCTACAAATAAAGCGATACAATCCCCTTTCTACCAGGCAAAGCCCACTGAGGTAGTAACTTATTTTTTCAGAAGCAGCCTGGCCACAAATTATAGCTCAAAGTGGCCTATCATGTGGAAATGTACAGCAGCAAATTAACTTTGAACGACTGGAATGCACGTTTCTGTTTAAATACCCAGGGGCGGCCTGTCGGGTTTGAAAACCGTGAGCCTCTGCGACAAGCGGAGAATGCGCTGCCGCTGTTCCATATCCAGGGCCACTTGCAAATTCAACTCAATCCCGGTCTCGTGAGTTCTCGCCCAAAAATAATAACGTGATGGTTGGATTGGTGTAATCCCTAATTTCATTGCACTGTAAATGCCCCCGGTTTTTTTTTTTAAAATCTGTGGACTCAATAAATGAGCCCTGGAATTTCCACCGCCGCTTTGTGAATGTATCTTAGGAATACTGACGACTGCTTTCCCGATCGGCGGTGCTGACGATTCTTTTCCCGATCGGCGGTGCCGAGTCGAGCGATGGCGGTGGTGGTGGTTGGCGGCGGGGTGCCGCGGATAAACACTGCAGGACCGCGCGTCCCCACGCCGCCCGCCTTCGCTCCATGAGCAGTCTGGGACACGTGGTGGTGGTGGTTTGCGACGACGTGTTAACGATCCCACACCACCCGGTGATTCGATTTGATTGTCTCCATTCGTTCTATGAATTCTATTCGTGAATCGCAACATTTCTGCGTTTGTCTCCTGTTGCGAGAGGTTTGCACATGACGCGTCAATTAACCAACCGATAATTCGCAAGGGTCCACGATACACGCTCATCATCGAATTGTGTAGAAAGAAATATGTAATGTTTGTGCAGGTGTTACTGATGTTACGAGCAAGACGAGGGGGGGGGGGGGATGAGGGAATACAAACGAGACGGTAAAAGTTAGACAATCGATTGTTGACTCGTAACATGCCCCGGTATCGTGGAAATTAAAATCCCCGGTGAGTTGAATCGTCACCCCGACGTTTTCTTTACCGTCTCGTTTGTTGGAAGTTTTTCTGTCTCGGTTGTACACTTTTATGTTTGCACTTGTTAAGCCGAAATGTCAGAATCAGAATATTTATTTATGCTGCAGGAATCCGATGACCTATAAAGCTCTTTTTCACAGATGTCCAGTAGTTTTCACAGATGTCCAAATGGAATACTAGCGAGCCATTTTGTATGTTGAGTTACGGTTGCATTCACATGCTAGTTGTACATAGTTATCATGCTTTGGAAATAATAGATTTTCGCCTACTTTTATCCGTGTCTCCTGCGTGTAAGAATCTATTTTAAAAGTTGCATCGTCAGGTGCCTAATCATTTGGTGTGTGTGTCGGCAGAGGGCATTTCAGCAACATCTATCATACTACTTCTTTGCCCCCGCTGCTGCGCTCTATCTTCACCATCCTTTTGTGGACCAGCGTGGTGAATTATGGTCAAATAACCCCCACGATGCGGGCAGCGTGGAGAGGACCTCATCACGCAGTGGATTGACAAACGTCTGACTTTCCACGAAGTGGTACTCTATTAATATCTATCACTCCCCTTAAGAATGATGGGCTAAATCATTAGCACAATGTGCTATTCTATTGCGTTTGGCAAGATGTTCGTGAGATGAATGCCAATGTCGAAGTCTACCCGCCAAGACAAGAGGGCTTAAGTGAAGAGTTGCTCTGCCTTTATTGAAGGAGCGAAGACGATGTTTGTTGAACTTATTTCACGCTACGTAGCCAACCGTGCTAATTGGAGGTGCGCTGAATACAGCAAACTAAACTAAACTTTTTTAAAAGAAATACGTTTTTAAGTCTACATTTAAAGTGCATAGCTCCAGTGGCTTCCAAATATCGGAAAGAGAAGAGCGTTCCAGACGGCCTGCAGGAGCGCATCTGCACGTGCGCAATGCGGTGACCGTCTTTGTTCGATGGCTAGCCAAAAGCCGCCGCCGCTGAGAGGATGACCGGAGTTTGCGTGATGGTGGTTCATGCTTCTTGACGGTGGTGTTTTTTTCTGTACGTACCATAAGTTGGGTTGCATAGCCACAGCCCGAATGTTGACACAAGCGTCATTGGGCGGCAAAAAAAAACCGTACGTATTGTCAAAGTCAGTGCTGGAGTAAGTTACTAGAAAAGAAATACATTGCTTACAATACTCTATTGGTGTATTCACTCTACAATACACTGTGGGTGTGTTCACTCTACAGTACACTGTGGGTGTCTTCACTGTGCAATACACTGTGGGTGTATTCACTGTACACTACACTGGGTGTCTTTACTGTACAATACACTGTGGGTGTATTCACTGTACAATACACTGTGGGTGTATTCACTCTACAATACACTGTGGGTGTCTTCACTGTACACTACACTATGGGTGTATTCACTGTACACTACACTGTGGGTATATTCACTCTACAATACACTGTGGGTGTATTTACTGTACAATCCACTGTGGGTGTATTCACTGTACACTACACGGGGTGTATTCACTCTACAATACACTGTGGGTGTATTCACTGTACACTACACTGTGGGTGTATTCACTCTACAATACACTGGGTGTATTCACTGTACAATACACTGTGGATGTATTCACTGTACAATACACTGTGGGTGTATTCACTGTACACTACACTGGGTGTATTCACTGTACAATACACTGGGTGTATTCACTCTACAATACACTGGGTGTATTCACTCTACAATACACTGTGGGTGTGTTCACAGTACAATATCCTCCACCATCTGCTTCACAGTGCATGATAAAGGAGATATCGTGGCGTCATCCTAAGAAGAGTAGGACATTGAATCAGAATTACAATATTGTTTTTACATTGGAGGAATCTGATGAGCTTTAAGGCTCATTTCCACATATCTCCATTCGAGGCGTGTCAGAACCCTGCAACAACAAACAATAGGACAGGTAAAATAAACAACACTTCACAAAATCTACAAATAAAACTAGAAACTTGTTTTTATCTTACCAGGTAAAGCCCACTAAACTATTAGCGTATTATTTCAGAAGCGACCTGGCCACAAATGATAGCTCAACTAAGTTTGCTGGCGTCGCGGTACAAATTGTAAAATTGCTCTAAAATTAATTGAATTGAGAAAAGCAGCAAAAATCTTCGCCTCGCAACTGCACAAACTCGGCAGGACCCTACGGCAAAAAGTCTTGAGATGCGGTGAAATTTTCATTGGTTTAAAACCTCGTCGGCTTTCGCGACCAATATCTATAATGGAGGTTCATCTTCTTTGGTTCTTTCGGTAAAGTCACGTAGAATGAGAATAAAATAATAAATTAATAAAATAAAATAACACTTTAATTCTCACGTTTCGGCCACAACACAAGTGGCCTTCTTAGGTCAAAGGAACAGACCTGTCGGGACGACAGAGCTTCAATGAACGTTGTTAAGATTTGTAGCGACTTTTAAGCTGGTTTAGAGAAGTGAGGCACGCTACAAATCTTAACAACGTTCATTGAAGCTCTGTCCCGACAGGTCTGTTCCTTTCACCTGAAGAAGGCCACTTGTGTTGTGGCCGAAACGTCGTGAGAATGTTATTGTGTTATTTTATTAATTTATTATTTTATTCTCATTCTACGTGACTTTACCGAAAGAACCAAAGAAGATGAATCCTTGCAGTCACGAAAGCTTTAAATCGAAATATAATGGAGGTTTTTTGGGTTAAAGCGCGCAAATATAAAAGCGTCGTTAAACCTGCTAAGTGCCACCCAACACAGCCGATTGTAATGATGCGAGTTGTAATCACTGGCGAAACGTCGTACTCGAATTGTAAATGTGGGTTTACTCTCCAACACACCGGTGTGCTGTACTAGTAACGAAAGGCATATTTTGTTTACGTGACAAACCTTACTAACTCGCCTTTTGTCCGTCCAAGGACGGGTGTATTGCAGTAAATCTGATTTAAAAAAAAACTCTTATGGAAGCTTTCTTTGGTATAACAAAAACAAGCGTAACCATCATGTTGCTGACGATGACGATGACTGCACGTGTTTGGCACGAATTTCTACATCAGCGTGAATCCATCCTGCTGTTCCTCGTTCAACAAGCTGCACTCACCAGCGGGGTGAAATATGGCTAATTAACCCCCTGCATCGAAATGGCGTGGGGATGCCGTTATAATTTATGGAATTCTCGTGCTTAATTGTTAAGATTAACACGAGTTTTTTTATGCGCTGGCAATATTGCATAAGCACAGATAACACATGCAACAATTGTGAATACACTGCCTCAATGTGTTGAGGTGTGAAGAACGACGCGGAAGCAAGTTGTATAGGGGCTAACGCCGAACTGTTTATTACGGGCTTACGCCTAACTTGGGGTGAAGGGTTAAAACGACTATGGGCTAAGCTAATCTCCCGAGGGGAAAGGGTACTGGGAATTCCCTACGCCCTACCAGGCTATCGGGCTCTTCCCTCAACACTGGCCGAGGGTTCAGCCAATTCGGCCAGCCGGGTAAAGTAGCCCTCTAGCCTGGCGCTATTTCCCCCTTACCCTGGGTCCATACTACCCTACCACTCACGATCCTGGCTCCCGGCGAAAACCCCTTCTACGTCACCGGTCCCCCCTCAAATACCCTGGGGGGACATGACGTCACCTTCCCCGAAGCTTCCCTTACGTCACTTCCTCTGACGTCACTCCCCCCGAGGCGAGTGTGACCTAACGTCATCACTCCAGTCCTCAACATCATCCCCCCCCCCGTAAAAAAAACTCAGCCGACCCAGCTACAACTACTCCGTGAGCGGGGCCCTCCACGGCAGGGAGACACGATGACAACGAACGCACGTGACACCCGAACGTGGAAGCTTGACCGGCTGCTAGAACAACAACATTAGGGCAAGCCGGCACCCGGTACGGCAAGTGGCGACAAGGGCGGAATGGAAGAGGACGGTTTTGCCATCTGTCAGCGAAATGCGCCTGCCCCGCGAGCGTGTGCCTGCCACCGGCCCGCTCCCGCACGCGGCGTCAGCCGCCGGAGCCGGCAATGCACTGTCCCGCTGCGGCCCAGATGGTCCGTGGCCAGGACAAGGCGCCGTAGGCGACCCCGCCGGCGGCGGCGCAGCAGGCGTCTCCAACGTCGGGCCACTGCTCCCTGCGCAGGCGCACTCGCCCTCCGGGGGCTGTCTGGAAAGGCCATCCGCATTCCCATGCAGAGTCCCCTTCCTGTGGATGACATTGAAGGGGTACTGGAGCACATCGAGCCAGCGGGACAGCTGACCCGAGGGTTGGTCAATTCGAAGGGAATATTGCAGGGCTGCATGGTCGGTCCGGACGGCAAACCGGCGACCATACAGATATGGCCTGTGCAATTGGACAAAGAAAACAATGGCCAGCAGCTCTCTCCTAGTCACACAGTACCACTGCTCAGTGGGGGACAAAACGCGGCTACCATAGGTCACCGCCCGCTCCACCCCGTCGACAACCTGAGCCAGGACGGCCCCAATGCCCGTGTCACTGGCGTCGGTGTCGAGGAGGAATCGCCGGGAGAAATCCGGGTACCCCAAGGGTGGCGCGTCCGCCAAGGCCGTACAAATCGCCGCAAAAGCGGCCTCCTTCCCCCAGAGAAATTTCTGTCCTTTGGCAGAGAGTTTGTGCAGTGGTTTCGCAATGGTCGCAAAATCGTGGACGAACCAGCGAAAGTACGATGCGAAGCCCACAAAGCTACGCACCTCAGCGACAGATGTAGGAGTTGGCCACGTCTGGACACAAACAGTCTTTTCCAGATCCGTGGCCACACCTGACGCGCTAACAATGTGGCCCAAATACTTCACCGATGGTTGCAGCAGATGGCATTTCTGAGGTTTTAATTTCAAGCCCGCGGCGCGCACTTTGGCGAACACTGCCTCCAATCACTGCAAGTGTTCGTCAAATGTACGTCCAAAAACGATCACGTCATCCAAGTAAATCAAGCAACACTCCCACTGCAGCCCCGCCAAGACCAATTCCATGAGGCGCTGAAAGGTGGCCGGGGCCAAATGAAGACCCATAGGAAGCCGAATTAATTGGAACAGCCCCTGGGGTGTGCGGAATGCGGTCTTGAGTTTGGAGGCCTCATCCAGTGGTAACTGCCAGGAGCCGAAAGCAAATCGAGGGTCGAAAAGAACCGCGCACCCGAGAGGGTGTCGAGGGAATCGTCCATGCGAGGCAAGGGATATGCATCGGCCACCAAAATCTTGTTTAATATATGGAAGTCGATGCAGAAGTGGAGACTCCCATCCCGTTTCTTGACTGGCACGATGGGGGCTCCCCAAGGGCTAGTGGAAGGGGAGATAATGTCCGCC